CGTTAAAGCTCTGTAGCAGGACTGAAATATATAACACATGACCATTGACATACACAAGGCATGTGCCTGCCAGTGTAAACAGGAAGCAGACTGTCAGCTGACTCTGCAGCTGGTTGCTTAGCGGCGGAAAATACTACGAATGAGAAACATCAATGGTGAAAAGTAAGAGCATGGTTAGTAATGATTGGGTTTCACCACTGGTCATGGAATTGTGTCTAATAAGACACAGTGAGTGACTGAATGCAGGGGACTGCGTCACTGTTTTCATATCTTCTCAGTTTCTGTCTGTCTTTTCCCTGCTTCTCAGTTTTAAGTGCTCAAAAAGTGTGATCACCAAACATAACCCAGAAACAGTGATGCATTTTAAGACTAAAACTTATTAGCGTAGATGGGGCCTAGGTCCTGCAGCTAGCAGAGCAAAACTCATTGTTGCAGCATAGATATCTACACACACTGAGGGACACAGACATAAAGAGGAAGGCCACCAGTAGGCTTTGAATATGAGACGTGTTGACTACTTCCTTCTTGTGACTAAGTTAGGTGACAACATACATACGGACGTGGAGTGGTGTGCACAGTGTGACTGAGTCCCTTTTTCTCCCTTTTTGTCCTTCAACATTCACCACACCTAGCCCTTTGAGAGCTGGACCCCAGTGTGTGGGTGTTTGTGTGTGTGTGTGTGTGTGTCTGCGCACGTTCCTGTACTGCACTACAAAGACAGCTGCCTGTTCTCAGTGGCATTATTTATTCCTAAATTAGCAGCACTGGATTCCACATCCTTTACGACAAACACGCACGCACGCACACGCGCGCGCACGCACGCACACACACACACACACACACACACACACACACACACACACACACACACTATGCTACTTTATATCTTGGCTGAGACACACTTGAAGTTTCTTGTGAATTTGTCCTTCCTACGACTCCAGTACAAAGTGTTTCTCAGTGGTTGAAAGGCCAGAAATGTGACTGATGAAGCACATGACCTCAAATTCTGGAACTATTAAAAAGAGAAGATGTATTTTCTGTTGCTGAGCAACTGTGGAGGTGGGTGCTAACAGCTCAGACCAAAGACGAAATTCAACAGATGCAACTTAAGTGCATCAACATGTAAAAGTACAAATAAACGGGAAAGATAGGAAAGAAGTAACAGACAGGGGCTGGGGAATCAGTGGAAGCGGTGCACTGCTGAAGAAAAGGGGAAAATGGATGGAGATATAGAAAGGGAAGAACAAACAGGTTATCAAGTCGGAAAAAAACGAGTGAGGAAGAGTGAGAGTGAACGTGGAGGGCGATTAGAAGGCTAAGTGAATGAGAGAGGAAGGTAGGAAGACGAGGGAGAGTGCGGTTGGGAAAGAGGAGTGGAGCATACAAGAGCAATGAGTCACGCATGGTAACCAGGCTAGCAGAGCTGCTAGCAACAGACCTCATGCTCCTCACTCTGCAGTCCTGATCAGTGGATGAAACGATGGAGCATATTTCCATCATTCATCTCATCTTTACCTCCACATATCTATTAACCCTGCGCTAACTGACAATGACTCTGAGAAACATTTTATCACATTTTGATAAAACTCTGCCTGGGACATGTAAAATTTTTTGGTATCAAACTATTGTAATATTGCTAAAATAAACTTTTCAAATCAGAAAAGATCATCTGCGGCTCTGCTGAGCTGGAGCCGTAAAGCTTGTGGTTACATAGGGAATGAACTGAAGGTCACAGTCACATCCCTCGCGATAAAATCAATGTCTCCTTGTTGAGGTTTCTAAATTTGTGTTTGTGAGGCACCAAAGTGATGTGAGGAAAGGTGAGGAGAAAGTGTTTCCCACCTCTCTCTCCCTGTACCTAGCTTGCTCTCCTTTTCTTTTTTAAGATCGGTGCTCATGTGAGACGATGACAGCGAGCTAAGTCTGTCTCATTTGAGAAAGGACATATAACTATGTCTACAGCTCAACCTGTCTCCACCTCTGTATGTCACCCTGTGACCTTACTCATCTCTCTGTCTCTTTTCACATGCAGTTGTATTTTTCAAGAGAGGAAGAGAAATTTCAACGTGTATCCCTGTCTTCTAACAGTCTCTTGGCCCAAATATATACTGACAGATTGCTTGATCACCAAATAAATGTTTCAATCATGTAACAAGTATAATTTCTCACAGACACAACTCTTTAAATGTGAAGACAATTGTATTCTACCTTTGCAATTCAACTTGTTTTTAATGCGACCATTAGCAAACTGAAAACAATGAGTTAATACAACCAGTAACCAATACTAGAGATGTTCTGATACCTCTACTAGTACTGAAACTTTACATCATTAGTTTCACCCAGATAAAACTGCTAAGTACTGCTGCACTGTACTGCCACTGGTGAGTACTGTTTTCAGAGCCGTGAAGAAGGAGGGGTTTCCAGTAGTGTTGACAGCAATTTGGCAACATTTTACGCTAGAACAATGTGATGCGTAGCAAATACTTCCAATCATAGCACTAGTGTTGCAAAATACAACACCAGAAATCTCATTGCAATTGAATAACAAGAACCAGCAAACTTTGGAAACTACATTCAGACGACGCAAAGCAAGAAACATAACCAACAACCTTGTTAAGATCGATGTTGTTTAATGCTAGATTTATTCTATTTATTAAAAAAAAAAATCTCTGTATGTAAGAGTTATATTAAAAACACATAGTTATTATGTTTTTCAAAGGGTGAGTAGCATACAGCTGTTAAAATATGTTATATACGTTTAAATGCAGTGTTATAAAATTAGCAATCGGTATTGGCTCAATGTCCAGGTATTGGAGTCGGTATAGGTTAAGGAAAAAATGGTATCTGACACCAATACGATGCTGTCCTCTAGACTTAACAGTTCTATAACACATAGCTCCTGTATCTGTCCTTGTCCCAATCTGTCCTTGTGCCACATAGTAGCAAACTGATATGACCACTGCCCTTATCAGCTGGCCTTTTCACACACACACACACACACACACACACACACACACACACACAGTTTGACAATTTGTTAAAACATTTCCACAACAGCTCCTCATTGGTATTCAATAGTAAAATTCGACCCATGATTGTTTCACGTCCACTCACTCTAATATTCCTATACATTGCCAGATCTTAATGTTCAGCACCAACACGTGTTTTTTTAATTTCTCTCCTCTGGTGAGTTTAAAAACGATCAAAGGCACAAACACAGTGAAACCGGAAGCAGATGTTTCTCTTTATTTTAACACAAACAGTGCGTCATTAAAGCGCGTGCAGCGGGACTCTATTATCCCGGGACGTTGGTCCCAGGGCGCGTGCCGTGCCCCGGTGCTGGCACAGGTCGGCTTGAGGAGACGGGTCGTGACGACCTCACATTAAAACATGCGCTGCCCTTCAGCTTCCGAACGACTCTAAAAACTTTTCTCACTTTTACATTTAATCATTCCGTGTTAAAGTCACTTTGTGACCCTGTGCGTTTGAAACACATTGATTTATCAACAGTTGTCCGTTCAGACAGCACTAGCTGCTGTTAGATAACAGGCTAGCGCTGCTAAAGTGTGCGTCAGCTGGCTAAAAAAAAAAAAGGGAGAAAAGATGCGCACCAGTGTATTGAAAAGTTAGGAAATGTCTTCCATTGAAACAGTGGGAGCGAGCTGTGAAAAACGAGCTGGTTCCATCGGCCAACACTCACCTTTTACTTGAGGTTCGAGCTGCAAATCAAACGAGGAAATTTCTCCAGTGAGACGGATGCGAGGGACGGAGCAGAGAGCTTCAGTGTGCGCCAACACCCTGTCTGTCCTCCTGACACACGCAACAGGTTGGTCTGTTCTCTGTGTCAGAGACAAAAGAGGGGGACGGAGCTTACTACGCTGGAGTTTAGGAGGGTGGATCCTGATCCGGGGTCGGCGTGTTGAGCTGTGAGCCCGGCAGCTGCAGAGGAGAGGGGCGTGGAGGCTGATCTAGAGTCAGCACTGAGAGGAAGAGGGAGGGAACCATTAATGTTTGCTTGTGGAGAACGAAGACGAGGAAGTTTGCAGAGCTGAGCTGCTCGAGCTCCACTCTGATGGTGATGTGCAGTCAACAGATGGAGAGGGGTCGTTTCATTATAGGCCTGTGACACTGTAATGCACAGCACATACTGTGATGGGGAAACTTTAGGAGATCAGTGCTGCTCCAAGGAAAACAAAAGTCAGAAAGGACAGAGATTCAAACCAGTTTATCTGCTGCTAACAGAGCTCAGAGGCAGATCTTGGAATTTTCCAAACCCAGGCCCACAGTGTTACACAGAGAAGCAAATTATATATTCGACATCCATGCACGATTCCTGGTTCAGAAAGGTGCACATAAGTCGTTCCTTGTTCGCTGTTAGGACTTTGAGCAAAGTTATGGAGCTTGACGATTGGGTCACAGCGGGGCATGCCTGACAAATGCAGCAAGCATGTCCTTCCATCTCCGAGACACAAAGGCTCCAACGTGTGGATCTGTCCTGGCCCAACCTATCCCAGGATTCATTACGCTTCAGTGACAAACTGTTTTGACGAGACGACCCATGCTTGAGTAAAACACTTTAACTCAACCAAAATAGCTAACGGGACACATGTTAAAAAAAACAAACAAAAAACTTTCTTGTCGTCGCAAACATCAGCTCTGCCACTAGGTAACAGTAATCAGGGCCGGACGAGCTGGTGATTCATTATTGAAATCGTCTGAAGACCAGGACTTCTCGTTTTATTTCAGCATTTGCTGCCCGCGATGGCCCGTGTCCTCTGAGGGATGCAGCCCCTGATTTGAGACACAGCTATTGTGTACTTCAAAAAAGCTTTGAATAATAAGACAATAACAAGCGATCATATTTGTTGTTTGTATTGTAAGTAAGACTCCTGACAGGAAAGGGACTTATCAAGGGATTTCAGCGGGGCCCAGTACCCCCTTGGCCCCACCCCTGGATCCAGCCCTGACAAAGCCGAAAAAAGAACACCGAAATACCACAGTTGTGATTTAATGCGACATTTATTATATTGTAATTAAATTAAAGTTTTTGTTTTCTTTTTCTTTCAATGAGGAAATGTTGGATAATATAACTCTATAGTTTATCATGCAGCAAACATGCAGTGAACAATGACTAACCATAAGGTTATGTTTTTATTTCCCACAATTTCAGAAGATATATGCAGCATTATGTGACTCAACTAAGCAGCACACATGAGACATGCAGGTTTGTTTCTAGGAATAAAGGTCTTTGTGAATATATATGATTTACACATCAGTACAGATAGAAATGAAGAAATCATGGGGGGGGGGGCGGGGCTTCATTAATCTTTTCACTTATGACATCATCACATCAATCTATGAGGCTGCGTTCCCACCCTTGTCAAAATCAGCAGCACCTCGGTTTGTATTTTTCAATTATAGATGAACGGTTTTTCCTTTAACAGGTCTGTACAAGAATCATCTGAGCTTGTGTGTTTCCACCAAACCACCCCCCTCATTACACACACACACACACACACACACACACACCAGATCTCTCCACCCCTGTCTGTCCACTTTGTTCTCCCAGGGTGAAACCGGTTTGTCAGGTGTGGGTATCAGATTTCACTGTTGTCATCCTCTGCTTTTCTACAAGGTGAGACAAAAGAGAGGGGCAGGATTTGCATGGTAGTTTGTGAGACGTTGAAGTGGGGATCGAGCCACATTGGGAATTTCAGGCACACACAGAATTAGCAGTGAGGTTAAAAAGGAAATAATGACTTACTTTTCCTTTCTGGAGCATCTGTTATCTGTGGAGACAAATCAGGATGTGTTACTGGGGTTACACTTCAACACACTTTATCTCTTTTACTACTTGTTTCACAGATTATAGATGATTAATTAACCTGTGTTCAGCACTTACAGAGTAAAACGCTGAGTCCTCCCATCACCAACAAAAAGGCAATGACTAAGCCTCCAATTCGTAGCCTATCATAGTCTGTTGGAAAATAAATGTTAGAGATTAAAAGGGTCCTGGTTAATTTATGATTATAAAAATAATTTCATTTGTATACAAAGATACTATAGAATCTTTCAAAACAGCCATTACAAAGTGCTTCACGAAGATGACAAATAAAAACTAGAACACAAAACTAAAACTACTAAAACACTGTATCTTAACATTAGTAATCTATATAAATTCTGCACTTCTACAAATGAGTGAGACAGGAGATTATATTGTAGATCATAAGAACTGGGAGATAAAGGTTTTGATACTTACTGTAAACAAATGGACCTGCAAACACAAGAAGAAGTAGGAAAAAATAAGAAAAAGAAATATTATTGACAACATGTATTAAAAAGAGCTAGCGTTGATATAAATTGTGGCCGAACAACACATTGGTCCTCGTTACTGGGTTACATCTTGTCTTTTTTAAAGCATCTGTCTCATAAATCTGACCTTCACCGGTGTAGCAGTTTTTTTGTGGAGACAAAAGAAGTTCAAACGTCTTCATAAACCAGTTTCACAACTAACAAGATAAGGGCAGAGCAGAGTTTTGGCCTTACTTGCTTCAGTTTCCATGAAAAGGGTGAAAAGCACTGCAAGAGAGCCAGACAAATAAAATGTTAATTTGTTTGAGTGGGTGGGAGTTGTTTGTGTACAGTCAAGGCCTTGAATCAGTCGCCTCACAGTCAGCACTTTCAGGTGAAACTTTAGAAGCTCGTCTTTTTCCAAAAAGGATTTAAAAAAAAATCTTTAATGTCAGAGGCTGAGTTTTGTAATTTTTTATGTTTGTAAAAAAAGAGTTCAGTAGGCGTGTATGAGCTGCTTTGATGCCCTTTAAAGTTCATGCTTTACAGTAATGTGTTGAAAATGTGATTCAAAAATTCACAGTCACATTCTTCAACTTCCAAACAATTTCCAGCTGCTGCATTTTTAAGAGTATGACTTTTAGTGTTTTTAAAATGTTCCTGCAACTGACAGTGAGCATTGTCTCCCAGAGAAATCACAATGATCCACGACCTTGAGACTGTAAAACATGTCAAAGGTCTTTTATATTTTATTTACCTGCCATTACAGCCACAAGATCGAGTTGACCCATCTTCAACACAACTATGAGTCAGACAGAGAAAGAAGTGAAGACAGAAAGAGAAGGAGACTGTGAGAGAGAATAACAGGAACAATGGAAAAGCAAAGCATGATCTTTCCCCCCCCCATCACATGCATGCGAGCAACACAGCACAAGCTTCTCTCTCTCCCCAGGAAGGGCGTCCTTGTGGTGTGAAAGGTCAGTGTTTCGTCGGCAGGGATGCATTCTGGGTGTTTGGAGAGTAAACATTGGATCATTTTTTGTCTCGGGGGGGAAACGCAGCAGGTCTGCAGACAACTTTCGTTCAACCTCCACTCAAACCACAAAAAAACCTCACTGTATCTGGCCAAACACTGTCATGTGCTTCACAGTATCTGAAGCGTCTTAACGTTTTTCTTCCTATCAGTTTTAACTTTTCAAGAGAAATGTATTTTTTAGACTGACTTCTTATAGTATATTATTTAACATATGGTTCCAGTATAGTTACTGACAGTTTTACAGTTTTATAATATACATTTTAAAAGAGCTATTGTATAGTAATAGGCCTAATTGCATACCTAAAAAAGAACTATAACTTCAAACATAAAGAATGTCATATGATTACACAGGATTCTGTGAGGTACTGTCACCTCTGACTGACCTTGGACGACCTTGAATCTCAATGGAGTTTACATTCATAACTTTTTGTAAATGAGTTTTTCTTCAAACTAGTTTTTCAATTGACAGTTTTTTTCAATTAAGCACTCATACCTGTTATTAAAACATGCAAAACAGTGAAGCTAAGCAATAGATAAAACAAGTGGAAGAGCAAACACTGTATTTATATCTTGTCAGTTTACACTGTACACTGGATTCTTCTTGATGTGGACATCGACTAAAAACAAAGATGATACAGAAACGTGTGATCATGTCTTCTGTTTTACTTCCATCATGACCTTTGTCACATGGTTCTAGCTCCCAATTAGCATGACATTAGTCAAGGTCAGGCCTTTGTCTTTCATATTCCAAATCTCAAAATGTCTCTCGCTCCCCAGATGATGAAACAGAAACAAACAGGATTGAACAGAATGGATTCTCTATTTTGGTTAAAGGTGATTTAAATGTGAAAATAATTTTTTGGCCAATTGACAGGATATTATTGACCAGAGTCAAAACGAGTACATCTCAGAGCACATCCAATGTTCATTGAATGCTCAACTCAAAAAAGTAGTATAATAAATATTGCAAAATGCAAGACTAAACATAAATCAGCGCAAGCATAATTATGTGACCCGTTGCATCTATAAAGAATGCCATGAATTACAAACCGAGGCCCATCATGGCCTGAACACACAGAGGAAAACATTAACTAATTAAATGTTATGTGTGAAACTTCAATCGTAATTTATCACAACAGGCATATTATGAAAATCTATATTTAAAGAAATAAAGAAAAATGACCCTAACCTCTCATTTGTCCTTCTGACCAATACACTGTCCTCTCACTATAAGATAAGACATTCTCATTTTTACACTGAAGGTGACCTTGGCCCCAAATTCTGATCCACCCGTGCCTTGCACTCCACCATACATGCACCTGTCCTTACCTGAGCTGATGGACGCAGGAGCTGAGGAGTGTGTGAATGTTCCACAGGACTGGCTGGTTAAAAGTATATCTTTTCTTTTTCACCTGAATAAGTAGCGCCTGCTCCACCTCTTTGTTTGGGGTATAAACTTTTGTGTGTGTGCGAGTGTGTGCATGTATCCAGTGTGAATGTGAGATGGTTGCAGGGGACATGCGTTGGTGTGTGTGTACAAGAAACTAGTGGAGCTATTATTCCATAAACATCAGCGTGTGTGCATGTGGAGAGCACGATTTGGCTCTGGTCATTCAATGCACGTTAGATTTTACACAAGATGCAACTTTTCATATAAATATTTCTATGCTAGTTCTGCTTGTGATACCAGTCATATAGTCATTAAAGTTCAAATAACATGCTCTGATGATTCTCTCTGTGGTTCTGTCAGAGAGGCCACAAGGGATATTAAGACGAGGAAAAAAAATGAGAGGATAACACTACAGAAAAACACATTTTCTTCCCTTTCAGACGAATTCTGTGTGAGATGAGACAAAGAGGGTGCATTTCCTTTCTGTCTTGTTTTTCTTCTCCCTTGCATGGCCTCTGCTGACTTTATTTATCTTCTGTCAGGTATCCCAGGTATTCCCCTGATGCTCCTCTCTGTGGAGTAGTTTGCACTGTGCTGGTCTGATGGTTGTCAGGCATTTTCCTTTTACTACTCCTGGGAAGTAGGGACAGAGATAATTGTTCTATACTCAGTATCTCCTGACCTTGCTTGAAAGAAGCTGTTTTTAAATCGTGAGGTGTTTAATATGCTTACATCAGGTTAAATAATTGAATAACCCCAAAGCTGAGCGTGTGAAAATACATTTGATTACATAAAAGCTCAGCTCTATTCCTCCTATAATGTTCGTGATGATTTGTTGGTGTTGCCCTCGTGCATGTGTGTGCAAAAATATGTGAGTGCATTTGTCACTGTGGTAATCTGCGACTATTAATAACTTTTCTTCACACACTGACAAAGCCATGGCATGCATTGGCCTCTTGAGGAATGATAATACTGTGAGGACATAGGAGATATATAGACGACCCAGACACATAGACACAGTGTGCGGTGTGTCGAGGTGTGTGGGGTTGTGTATATCTAAGTGATAATACTTTAATTTGACAGCTGATAAAAAGGCAACTGGTCATTTTCTCTCATGTTATTTCAAATAATACCTTTTAATAATAATATATTTTTGTCAGAGGATTTGATGTGAATAATCTGCACACAACGTGCAATTATGACACTTTTCTTATAGTTTTGTATTTTCCATCAAAACCTGGATGCATGAATATGGTCACAATGTTTCAAATCCACTTTGTAATTCTGCAGAAGAGAAATCTGTTCGACACAATGTGGAAAGATCGAGAGGCCACACTGAGTGTACCTGTGTGTTTGCTGTTGTCTGTCTGCCTGAAGCAGCAGATTCCTGGAACATTGTTTGTGAGGTTGAATGAAGGTCACTTTGTTCCATGACAATGACAGGGCACTGGTAGAATAAGAGGGGATAGAGGATATACAGAGAGGATCCGCCTCTTTCACTAGACGTATCATCTTACGGATTGTATATATTTATCACCTCATCCCCATTACTCAGTTCACATAGTTAGTTTACAGTTTACTTAGAATAACTTTACATTACAGTACCAGACAGTCCAGCTAGGGTTGGTAATCCTGGAAAAGCTGGCAAGGTTACAAGCCACAATTTAAAAAAAATCCACTAATAGGTTACATACCACCCCCTCCCATTGGGTCTCTCATCAAAGCTACTGGGTTGCTGCTAGACTTAGACTTTACTGTGACTCCAGATGCAGAAAGTGAAGCCATCACAGAAGTGCTTGAAACCTTTATTCTCTCCAATTAACAGCAGAGTCTCTAGTTTCTATTGAAGTCAATTTTAGAAGTATATGAGAAAAGGACCCTACTTCTCACTTATAACTTCAATCAATATCTTCCTGATGGTCCAAATGTCTAGTTTTAAGTCTTCTTCAATACAGAACATTAATCGTATTTTAAATCATGGTCTCATTTAGAGGGAAATAGACGATTAGGCATGGTATGTATTGGGGCACGGGTGTGGGTCGCGTTTGTAGGTGGGTGTGCAGTGTCCTCGAGTTCTGAGTCTGGCTCAACCCCAACTCCCTCAAATATGGTTTTTTCTGGGTTTCAAAAAAGCAAAATGGCGCTGGCCAAAATGCAATACCCAGGCCCTCAAAGTGACATCTCATGTGCGACGTCACGGTGTGTTGCACTCGGTGTCCATGCAGATGTCATGTTTACATCGCTGTCGATCGGAGCGGAGGCATCATGTTCTCTAAACGTGAGCAGTGCAACAGTTTCACAGGAAGGGACTATCACAAGAGAGTGTGACGTAATCCTCTGCTCAGGACACTGTTACTTAAATGTACCTGTACATAGACAGTAGTTAATGTTTAAAGTCTTGTATATATTACCTTTAAAAGGTCATCTTGAGAAAACACACTGCACAATGGAGGTTATCAGTGCAGACGCATAAACGGACACACATTCACTCACACATATAGCAACACCTGTGTCTCTGCTATGATGGTGTTTATGGTATTTGTCCATGAACAGCAGAACTAAAGGTTTGAGTCTATAAGGTCAATAATTGATCCTCTAGGTAATAGACAGTAACTTGTATTTTTTTCCCTCCTTGGAGTCATATTTGGAAACACAAGAATGTAGAGCCTTCCCAGTAAGTTGGTCCTCACATGACTGAGTGTGTTGTGTATTTAGACAGTGATACCAGATTGGTCATTTTCCCCCCTCAGCCAGAGCTAAGAAAAGAGGAGCAAGACAAAAGCAAAACATTATTTGTGACTCCCAAATACTTCACATATCCTTTTTCTAAATGATCTTCTGTAGTGCAAACATTAAATGTAGTCTCTCACTCTGCATCATCCCAATAATAATATAACTTTATATTCAGCTGTTGGGGAATGTGAACTAAGAAGAATAGGACAAAAACCGTCATGGAGTGAAGTGAGGTGTAGCTTTGCAGCTGAATCAACACGTTGCTCCATACTTCTGTTGTGTCAACGAAAAGACGAGGGAGAATTCTGTCCTGCTGCGTATGTGTGTCTGTGTGTGTGTGTGTGTGTGTGTGTGTGTGCGTGTGTGTGCTGGCTGCCTATGCTGCTTGATCAGGTGTCACAACACAGTCAGGGGAATAAAGATCACAGTTGAAGTCAGTCAAATACCAGTTGTCATAGTTATTATGTGCTCAGTTAATCGGATTTGAATGAAAAATTGTGTTCATCTTTAAAATCTAGTATTTTAATTATAATTATAGTTATTATGCATTTCAATGTTATGTTCAGTGAATATGGTGACAACATATAGAAAGGGTAACAGATGGTATGGTGTAAAATCTGAGTTTTTAATGAGATATTTTATATGACAGACCATTTTGAAGAGATGACTGAACAGGAAACATAATTTTGTCTCATTTACTTTTTAATTAAATGCTCAATTGCCTGTGGTTGATAATAAAAACAATAAGAAGACTGAAGGACAAAGGAGCAGTGCCAGAAGACTGGAAGTCTTAATCCTGAGTTCACCACCAGGGGAAGCAAAAGACATATGTAACCAGTGCATCACTCCGCACAGTGTGTCTCCCTTCACTCTTGTACTGACTCCTAGCTATTCACTTTTTGCTGTTGCACATAGCAGACATTGTAGCTGCTTTTCTTATTTGGTAAACTTGGGAATTAATGAATCCTTTTATTTTGTAATCCTATGCAGAAGGGTTAAAAATAATTCAGATTATTAGAATTAACGAATATGAACATTAAAATCCATGTGTCAGACCTAAAAAGGATGTTTTTGCCACTCAATGGTATGTGCACATAAATATATGTTGACAATGGTGCATGCAGATTACATGTAGATACATTTTTTGTCCTGTTAGTGCTGCTATGGTGGAGGAAGTATTCAACCATTTTCCCTAAGTAAAAGTATGAATAAATAAAAATTAACTCTAAAGTAAAAGTACCACATTATTTTTTCCACTTGAGTGAAAGTAGCTACTTGCTATATTAAAATATAGTGAAAGTATTAAAAGCAACATTTCTTTCAGAGTAAATTCTATTCCCTCCTGCTTCATCATCATCATGGCTGAATCTGCTGCTTCTAAATCCAATCCAGGTTTTTTTCTCGTCTGTGATGCTACTGTAGGAGGCGGGATCTAATGTTACCTGCCCACTGTGATTGGCTCAGACATGTAGATCTCATTAATAAACACTTTTAATGGAGTAGAAAGTACAGATATTTACTGATATATGTTGGGGTAAAAGTGAGAAGTATCTGAAAATAAATCTAATACACTAATAATTTACTTTAGTGCAGTGACAAAGCACAATATTTACCTCATGTACCTGCATGAAGGATAATTTGATTAGGTTTCCTGTGCTTATTGCTTCCTGAATCACTGAATGATTCAAACAGGACATTCTGGCTGATTTTGCTTGAGTCAATATGAACAATCACATAATCTATGTCAAAAAGTACATCAGGTTGTTTGAGACATCATACAATTGTATTGTGGTCATGGTCCACAAAGTGACAGCAACATCTTATCTGTTTCTCATGTGCAAGGTCAACAAACAACAAGAAAATGAATTAATGAGTGAAAATGTCATAAAAAGATTTATAAACCTATAAGGAAATTGAAAGGCAGAGTACAAACAACAAGCCGAAAAACATCAAATACATCCCTAAGTTTACTTTTAGTAACTGTGGAGGGTGATTTTGGAATATTTTCAGATACATAAAACAATTAGCATGGGCACAAATGGCGTGTTGTATGATCTGTGATATTTATTTACAGTCATTTTTATCATTTTTAAAAAATGAATATTTTTCTCTGCAGGGCTCATTGACCGGCAGGTTATTTCTGAAGAGAGAGCTTCCCTCAAGTGGCGTTTTGTGAAAGTGCAGCAGACCAACCTTTTATTAAAAGCTCAGCTAGGAGCCTTTGTCAGTGATCTCCTAACCTCCATTCGTGTGATTGTGTGGAGCTGTCAGTCATGTGGACTGACACACAGAGCAGATGCTCTTCTCATTTAATCACTGACCATCTGCAGGCAATCTTTTATTGGGATTGCTTTGTCAGCACTTTCACAACCTCTCTGCTTCCTCACTGTTTAAATAACATGTGGGTGCAAACTATTCATTCAGGCAAATTATTTAAACATTCTATTGTTCAAAACCCAACTTTTAGAAAACTACATAGTCATACAACTGCTGTACCCACGTTATAAAAAAGACAACAAAGTTTACATAGGACTGTAAAGGAAGCTGAATGTTGAATTATGAGCCAGAAAATGTTGGAAATTATATTTTAATCATTTTGGTGTATTGTTTGAAGTGATCATTGTGCACAATTAGAGAGAGTTACAATGGATCTGGACTCATGCATTTCAGACAACAGCATCTTCGGATCTGGGTTTACTTCAGCTTTCAAAAACAGAACAACTAAGAAAAGTGAAGGAAGCTCATCACAGGGGTTGTTTACAAGCCACATCATCTCCATCTCAGCTTTTTATCTTCTTCGTGTCCTTCGTCACAATCTCTGTCAGATCGTCTTCTGTCTCTTTTACCCCTGAAAGCACAAAGATATCAAAAATCACTTCAGTCAATGGGTAGCTAATGCATGTATTGCTGCGGTACAGTTTTCATGCTGGTGAATTGAAGCACTGTATATATACTTACTGAAGCACTTGCGGAAACTATCTGATCTCCACAGCATCGTGTAAGATAAACCACACACCAGCAGGAGGCCAAAGAAGCCCCCGATGGTGCAGCCGATGAGAATGGCATAGCTAGTGCCATTATCTAGGAGAGAAGGAACAAGTACTCAGTGAGGGACGGACAACAGCAAAGGAGATACGGGGTTACTTTCAGAGGGGGGGGGGGGACTGATACACAAACAAAAACAAGTCTTGGTACTGGTAAAAAAATGAAATCCAAATAAGAAAGACCACTGTTTTTTATGTGTTTGTAATGATATGATGCTATAGAGCTTGTAATCACAGAATATGCTTTGATTTGTCACATAAAAAAGGATGCTGTGTCTCCACTTTCTCGTAGAATCAAATAACTAAAATCAAACTTTCTGGACAAATTAAGATATCAGTGTGATAAGATCTTTAAGATTTTTTTACGTGTACTGTACACAGTCCAGTACTGTATGGACATGCTGAGGATTGAATTGATGCCACAATCACTTATGGCCTCGAATGAAATGAACCAAGGGAGACATACACCAGGGAGACAGTCCAGGTGTTTGGTGTTTCCAGTCATGATGATGACAGCTAGGTGAAGACCAGCAATACTTAAGTTACTTAAGACATTTCCTTTTCTGCATCTAGTTTTTATTTTATTCATATTTATGTTACTATAATTATTTAATGTGAATGAGACAGAAGAGTTTTCACCATAAACATGAAGGACAGCAGCCAGTGAGTCCGGATCCTCTGACCGCCGACACACGACTCGTGTGCCATTGTCAGAGAAAGAGGTTCCCCTGAGGGTCCACACAGCCAGTGATTCTCCGTTCTTCACTTCACAGTTTCCATAGAGGGCCTGCAGGGAGGGGGCGGGCATTACATTTACATCAATCTGAACATATTGGATAGATAGTGGAGTAAACAGTGGGGCAGACAGTGACCACCTCACCTCAGGGATATCTTCCAGATGGTCATTGGGGCAGATGAGGGTGTAGTTGCCGTGACTACCATAAAAGGTGAACGAGAGACTGGGAGAAGCTTCGGGCACGCCACAGCTAAACCACGCAGGTTCTCCCACTGCCACTGTGACATCAGCTGGGCGTGTGCTGTAAGTGAGAGCTGCTGGGCTGGGTGCTGAAGTGCTGGTGGTGGTGGTGGTGGTGGTGTTTTGAGCTGAAATAATGATAACATGCAAGTGATGCATGAGACAGACATGAAGAGAAAAAAGCAGAAACATGTAAATTATTGACTCAATCAATATTAAAAGAATGAAAGTACATTTATTATCTGATATAAAATCTGGTGTAAAATTACCTCTGCCAAGGAGATAATGTTTGTTGGTTTTATTCTAAGTAAGATTACAGAAAAATTATGAAATCTTGCCCAACACACTGCGCACAACTGTCCTCAGATTGTTGTTGTGAATCCTGCCGCCTGACACATTTAATATGTGAACGTAAGCAATATCCTCCCACTGCCCTCAAAAACATGTGGGTATTCTTAACCATGTGCACTTGGTTGATGTTCGAGGAGTATGTGGTTGTGTTACAGAGGAATGAGGAAGTGTGTTAGAATAGAAGTCTCTAGTAAATAGAATTCCCCTAAAAGTTGTATGGGAGCCTCTCTCTTGCTGCACCATTTAGTTTTGCACTGGGACAGGATTTTGCACCTCTGTCTCACTCTCTGCCCTTTTCATTGGTATGAGTGGATACTTGGCAGGAATAAATCTGTTGCTTTGAAATTACCTATGGAGGGTGTGGGGGTTTGGAGCAGAGCCAGAAGCAGCAAGAAGATATGAAAAACTTTCCATGTTGTCATCATCTCTCTGTTCCTCCTCTTCTCCATTCTTTTCGACACGCAATCCCTCTTATTCCAAAGATTAACCCTGAAATGTTCAAATGACATTACATTACATATGACATATAACAGCACATAGTTCCTTCTATTCCAGAGGACAGATAAACAGTAAAATGCTTTCTTGGTTGTATTGTAGTGTAGCTGTTTTACATGACGAAGACTTTAAACAAGTGGTAAAATTAAGCTTTTATTTTACATAATTTAATATTAATCAAATAATTCTCCTCACTGTCTCATTAATCGTCTATAAACACTAGTGATTCCATGCCCAGTTCTCTTTTTTTATACATTATACATTTTCCAGCATGAAAAGCATTGAACTGACTCATGTCACGCAGCCATTCAGAGTGAGAAACACAAGCCAACACTCGTATTTTGTTTACTGTGCATCAACAATTTCTTATTTTCAACTTGGAAATCAGTATTGAAAACATGTCCAGCCATAACCGTCCCTCTCAAGTCTGATAGCATTCTGTTAATGTAAGAAAGAAGAAGTAAAATGGAAAGAAAACAACCTTAAAATGTACAGAATGAGCATCAAAACCGATGGATCATTATCCAACTCCCGCAGCAGGTTTACAAGCAGCTTCCTTATTTGAAGATTTGACAAGGTTTATACATACGTCCTAATTTGTTGAGTGTATCGTCTCACAAGTCTTCTCTAAACCGCTAAGGCGTGTATCAAGACCTATCTCTATATCTCAGTTTCTCCTGAAAAATGACCCTGTCCTCACCTCTCTCTGCATCACTCCATCCTCACAGTCAATGCAGGTAGAGAGTAAAGAACAACCGGGCGCCTGAAAGAATGTGGACATCTTCCTGCTTTACAAGACTAGATTTCTTAGAATGAAAAACAGGTTGAGCAGGCTCAACATGAGCCAATAATAGCTGTCTCAAATTTACTTTTGCTTTCTACCTGTCCATGAATCTAAAATTAAATCTATACCGTTGAATTCTCAAGGTGTGTCAGAAAATGAGGACAGACAAAAATGTCCTCACTTTCTTACAATGTCTTTGTTTTCCTAAAATCTCCTTACCTTCCTTAAATGAACTTACCTTCCTAAAATGTCCTCACTTACCTATAATGTCCATACCTTCCTGAAATGTCCTCACTTTCCTAAAATGTCCTTAGCTTCTTAAAATGTCTTTACCTTCCTAAAATGTCCATACCTCCCTTAAATGTACTTACCTTAATCCCTTACGTTCCTAAAATATCCTTACATTTTAGGAAAGTGTCCTTCACGTTGGACTCCATTTGTTGTGAATAACCTAACCTAAACCTGATCCTAACCTCAACCAGGAGCTCAGAAATTAGGAGCTCATTAGGACCGGGTTTAGGACTACACCATGAGGTATACTGGTCCTGACAAGGTCACAAAGAGTATGCACACATCCACTCCTGCAGTCTCCATTACTGTCCCATCTCTCTGTATTGGATGATAGAGATTTATTCACTTGGGCAACTCAGTTTTACATGTTGAGACCATGAATTATATGGAAGATTTGAAGTAGCAGGTCTGTCAGGCCATATTTTTGCACAGGGGAGCCTTGACCTAAATGAGGAAACATTGTGTATTTGTAAAGGAACAGGCAATGATAGAAATACATGTGAAAAGGGAAATACGCAGTGTGTAGGATGCAGGAAATAGTGACAGACATTCTCCACATATTTCTACTTTAAATTTTGGTCTTAGGGTATATTTGTCTCCACCAAATTCTGTACACATGCTTGTCTTTTCTCTCCTGTAAAAACATTATATTACTTTTGAAAAACTCATCTCACGCTCACTTGCATGTAATGACGTGTAACCAAACAAATGATGTGGTTGGAGCTGCTGACCTACTGTGTAATGAGGTAGTAGAACAGAGAGCTACGCCCTCATGGCTCAGGGCCTCCTCTTTGATTCCATCTCAACTTTTAAATCAGCAGAACTCTGAGTCGTTCAGTCTCATCGTCCCCCAATTTCGGAATCATTTTATTTGCTGATATGGAGAGGATGATCACGGTGCTGGTGCTTCTGATCCTAAAGGAGGGTAAGAGATTCTTTTTCAGTATTTATTTTAAAAACAGGATGGTAGTTTTTTTTGCATGGTTATAAAAACAGTTTTTATTTCACAGTGAATCAGACTTGAGAGGAAACATTCATTTGCTGAGTTGTACCAAAGCAAAGGGCGATCTGTTAAAACAATATAATATATATAAAGATGGAAGACATGGCAGCTGCCCAAAAGTGAAGACATGGCAGCTGCCCAAAAGTGAAGCCAAAGCATCTTTAATGGCTGCAGTGTAGGCCATAAACCCTCCTTGCTCTATGTTAGTGGAAGGGACTGGGACCAAACTAAAACATTTTATTACATCAAATAATTTGTTAGAGGTGGGTACCTCACAACCGCAGCTCCATCCCCAAATCATTATTTGCTCACAATGGCGACGTCAGTATCTGAGATGTTTTGTCTTCATTTCTGGAAAGTGGGGGGAGGTGGAGACGTAAGGTAAAGTTGAGATGCATGAGCCCAGCTGACAAATACAGAAGGAATCAGTCAATCTGTGTAATGATGATGTTAAATAAATTCCCCCAACCTAAAGATAAAAAATATTGTTGTAGAGCCATTTGTTCCTATTTGCCTACATGATTCTCAGTTTAAATCTGCTATGTAAATGTGTCAATACCAAATACTCAACATTTCACAGCATGTCTCATGTGCTCTGTGCAGGAACTGAGTCTTCTGGCTGGACAGTGACTTTTGAAAACCTAAATCTTTGTGCGTTAAAAGGATCTTCGGTGGAGCTCAAGTGCTCACACAGATACGAAGAGGAGGAAACTGCACAGTATAGAAGAAACGTAAATGGTCAAATCTGGACCCTTGTCAAGTTATCACACAATTCATATCAAAGTCACTATGAATATCTTGGTGACCAGCAGCACAACTGCAGCTTTGCAATCCACGATGTGCAGGAAAGGGACACTGGATTTAAGAGGCCACGTTAGATACGTACAGGTTTAGAGACTTTAGCAGTGAATCAGTGCATCTGTCTGTCACAGGTAAAATAATTTCCAATTAAATTTTATACTTAGAGCTTACAGCTTTTCTACATCTCATCATCTCTGTTTATTCAACTGACTGATGTATAGAGCTGAGTGCCAGCGCGTATCCAGACTCAGTGAGAGCGGGAGAAAACGTTACGCTTGAATGTGAAACATCCTGCTACCAACCTCCCAGCATAGTCTGGTTCAAAGATGGACGCCCCATATCCAAACCAGTGTTCCAGGCTCAGGCAGGGGATTCAGGAAATTACTCCTGTGCTAATGAAGGACAAGAGTCAGCGAAATCTGACCCTGTGACTCTGGATGTCCAGTGTAAGTAATGTATGATGAAATTGTTGGTTGAGTGTTACTTAAACATGTTTGTGGTGATATCCAGAGTTCATGTCCTGGTTTCTTGTTCACACTTTACAAATTGTATTTTGTATGAAAATCACAAGGTGATGCTCAGTTCAAATGACTAAATTATCTTTCTATACGAAGGAATCCACTCTGTCTGTGGTGAAACGCTACAGACCAGGAGTTTCCTGATTATCTTTATTCATTTACATTTATATTTTTAATATCAGAACTGATATGTCTCCGTGTGAATTATGTCCAAGCTGTTTGGTACCAAGCAGACATGCTAGTTACAGTTTAGTTCCTCCAGTCTCATTAATTATCACTGACAGATAACATTATCAGGACAGTTTAACACCCACCTTTCTATCTAACACCAAGGTATAGGAACAAAAACCATGAGGAATGTAAATAAGAAACCCCAAACCAGATCTTACATATGATACGCAATTTTACTTATACATCTCTCTCTCTCTAAATATATACTGTATATACACTAATATTTAATAAAGCAACTTATTATATAATAATAATTCACACAACTTAACATGCAATAGATATTTGTATGAATATAAGAATATAATAATAACTATGAAATAGTAATTCAAGTAATGTCTGCTGTGTCTATGGTTACATCAATCTTATCATCAAATTCTTTGCACAAATATGGCCCCATTGCAAAATGTCAAATTAGGTTTTAAAACTTTTTATGAAAATGATTTCACAGCCTGACTTGCTTTAGTCAGGATCATCCAGGACTATTTTCTTGAATGACTGAATGTAGATAACAGCACAGTGGTTGGTGGTTGTGTGTGTGTGTGTGTGTGTTTTTTTTCCCTTTCTTACAGATGCTCCCTTGAATGTGTCGATTGAGATGAGCCGTCCTGGTCTCCTGGTAAAGGGCAGCAATGTGAGTCTGACCTGCAGCGATACAGCCAACCCTGCAGCAGATAACCACACCTGGTACAAAGCTTTGACCAGCTCCGTCTTAAGCTCCATGCTCAAGGTGGGCTCAGGACAGGTGCTGTCTTTACCCTCTTTGAATGCTACCCACTCTGGACTCTACCTTTGCCGGGTCAGGAACAGTGTGGGCGAAGGCAACTCAATGGGTGTGCTGCTGATGGTGTATGAAACAGACCCAACTGACAGTGAGTATGCAGGGCGGCTAAAGCTCATTGATTATTGATCCACAGTCATAAGGTGCATGAAAGAATAGTTTTAATGTTGCAGACTGACCTGATTGGGAGGATAATTGTGGGATGAGGGAGACAATGTTACAATTTAAATTTCCAACAAATCTGGATTACAGATTCAAATTGCCTGCATTTAGAAAATACAATAAATGGTTTTGGAGTCAAAGTTGTCATTGTGCTGTTGCTTACAATGATTATTATCTGGCGTTGGTAAGTTAAACACACAACACCCTTCTAGTTTTAATTTCTGCATTTAAAAGAATAAAAAGATGCAATACATAATGTCTGAGGGAACATGAAAGAGAATTTCTTGAAACCCCTCCTGGGTTTTGAAAAGTAACATTCTTCAAGCAGAAAATGACAGGAAATAGGAAATAACAATGAATATGCAGAATATGTATCCCACCTTTCATTTGGAGGAATTTTTGTTTCGAATTGTTCCATGCAAATGATGTTCTTCTTTCATGTTCAAGTAAGAAGATGCGTGGCACTCCCTTGGAGAAAAACGTAAGGAGGAGCCTGCTGTGTTTAAATGGATCAATTACATTTTGTCATAAAAGGTGTAATGCTGTTCTGATTGTGTTTCAGGAGCACAGCCATGATTATGAAAACGTCAGAGATGTCAATGGGTAAAAACTGGAGAAGCTGAACTCAACAAATAACAGCACTCTTCTCATCCCTGACTTTTACTTCCCCACCTTTGTGTTAATTGTCCTAGTAAAAATTTTATTCTTTATTTGATGTATTCATTATGATAGTGTTTTATGCCAATATGTTTTATTAATTCAATTGTTTGTCTGAAAAGAGCTGATGGTGTGAAGGGTTCAATACTGGTACAGCACAGTGTATCCATAGACAAACCAGGATATGCTGCCCCCTTGAGTCTAAGATACACACCTACAATATGTTCTGGTAAACTGATAAATTCCTTCATAGGCTATCTTCAATCTAAACAACTTATTACCTCCACCAAGGAAGTTTGTTTGTGGGTTGTTTTCTTGGAAGTAAGATCCCCACAGATGGTGGAAGGATGTGGAATGGGTCAGAGAAGAAGTCATTACATGTTGGATCAGAAGAGATGGACTTTTTTTCAACATTTTACAGTTGAATAAGTTATGGATCTCGATGAAAACAGCAACAACCAAACAGGTTTACAGGGAACTGATTTTTATGAGTGTGTGGAATTTTGTGCATCTTGGATTTATGAAGACAGTTGTGCCTTGGTGGAGGTCTGCGCTGTAATTAGTGCAGCTCTGGTTTGTATTATTTACATCATTTCAGAAGGTTGTGGTTGAGACTGGCTAAGGTTACATTTTTATGCTGTAAATGAACCAATCAAAATAAATGAATAAACATAGACTTTTCAATTAAGATAATCTATTTTCCCAACTCAAACCCATAAACACAACAATTCTGGCTACTGTCATATAGTTTTAATATCTAATTATGCTCCTGTTTGGCATATTGTCTGACTTTTTATCACCATGATTTATTTGCTATTAAAATGTTTTACCATGCAATAAACAGTTTTTTTTGAGTTCTTTAAATGGTGACAATAATGTGTAAAAAAATTGTTGGTCTCACGCTTCACACTAATTGCAGTAGTTATGAGTTTTAAAATTAGCAGATAAGTTATATATTGTTAGGTAAAATTATGTATGTATGTAAAATTAGTGACACTTTGGTGAAATGTGCAGTACTGATGCATAAAATGTCAGATCATTGTTTAAAATGTACAGTAAAAAGGCCCTTGAAATTTATATGAAACTGTCTCTTTAAATATTGGTGAACTTGAAGTTCCTTGTTTACTCGCTGAGCTTTTAAAAATAGAAGCTGGAGGCATGACTCAACTCAGCTTTTTACACTTTGACTTCAACAAACTAATGAGAGGAGTAGCTGACATGTTGTAAATGGACGTCAGAGTCACTGTCCTTCTGGTTCTCAGCCTCGTCCGCTTCTCCACGGGCTCTGGTCAGCGTCTGTTGCTGCCTTATCACAGAAATGTGACACGGTATGAACTGCTGACAGCTTTTAATTGGATCATTGTGACTGCATTTCCCATCATCTGCTTCTTATAAAAGCTGCTGCAGGATTTTCTCTTTCTGGACACTGCTTATACAGGACTTTGTGTGACAATGTTAAAATCTGGTAAAGGATCGGTGCTTTCAGGTCCAAGTTATCTGTAGTCTGCAAATGTAATGAACAACGGAGGCTGTATTCAAAGTCACACCTGCCACTTTAATAATATAAGTAACATCAACATAAAAACAACCTGTGGGGGCAACACAAGATTTTCCGTCTTAGTAATCACAAATACATTTTTTTCCTCTTGAAGATTCCTTGGTTAATTCTTGACAGGGGCATTTAGCTCCAACAAAGAAACGCAGAGATAAAAAATATATTCCAACACTTTTTCCTTTGGTTCAGTCGCTCCTCTCAGGCCAAGTTTACCTCAGTGCATTGTTATCCAAGAATTACAGGTAGAATTTGTGATTCTGAAAAGCTTCTTCATCTTATTTGTTGAAATCTTCTTCACGACCCAATAGCCATCAATAAAAAGAGTTGTCTAAAAAACAAAAAGAAGGAGGAGCCGGGGATCAAACCCTCTTTGCGGACAACCCTGTCTACCTCCTGATCCAGAACCAGCCCCTTTAATTAGTCTGTATCATAGGGCTTCACTGGCAACATGAGGTGTGAAGGTAAATGAGGGTGTTGAGGACCTATCTTGAGTGTCCTGAATGTAATCATTAAAAAAAGATGTCTTATGTGTGTGATGCTCGCTGAGTCTTCAAGCCTCTGTAGCAGTTGTTGCTGTGAGGACGTACGACCGGTGGTGGGATGACCTCTTTCTCCTGAGAGGACAAATCAATCAACAAAACACAAAGAGTTACATCACTGAAATATTTTTTATAAGAACTGTGATTTAATTTAGCTGAAATACAATAAATAATTTATTCATGTAAACTGAACCCAGACACTGAAGGTTTTGGTAAAGTTAATTGTGTGTCACTTACTGGATAATTTTAACCACACACTTTCTATAAATTAGTCAATTTGTTGTTAAGGATAATATTACTTATATTGTCCACCTACCTATGTCCTACTGTACATCTGAGGATAAATAAATAGCCCATGTTAATACTGAAAAACTCACCTTCTCATAAGAAAAGCAATTATGGCTATAATAAGCAATAAGACACCGATGCACACGCCAACGAGCAGCATTCTTCTTCCTGTGGTCTTCGGTGGGGTCGCTTCTGCAGAGGACAGAAAAATAAAGACACCTACTGTCAGTCAAAGTGACTAATCTACTGTCAGTAAATCCTCTGTAGGCCAGACCGTCTCATGTGGGCCTTCGTGGGCTATGTGTTCTTCACCTCCCTGAAGGCCCCTGAATTGAGACACAGCTACAGGCTCTTCATCCACCTACCTTTAATACCAGTGAGCGTTACAGAATAAGTCTGTGATCCATGTCCGTTGCGTGCTACACAGCAGTGCTGCCCGTATTCCTCAGTGCTGATGGTCGAGCTTCTGAGTGTGGAGCCTGCGGATGTAGCCGGGGAGTGTCTGGCTTGATGGAAACTGTTGTCTGCTGCAGGGAGACACGCTGCACCCTGGTACCAGGAGAAGGTTTGCACAGGTGGGTTAGCATCACTGCTGCAGGTCAGAGTCACAGGGAGGCTCCTCTGTAGCTCTCCAGGCGGAGAGATGGAGACGTGTGTATTTCGAGGTGAGTCTGAACAGATGGGGAGGTCAAAGGTCAGCTATAAGCCTTTTTAGATTCTGTCATTACATTGTGAATTTAGAATGAATTGTAAGTGTTTCGTAATAAGTTTTAACTCAATTATCAAAATGTGTGAGGACGGAAGATTAAACTAATAGAAATTCTTGTGATTGAAATTCTGTCCAGAGCATTTTGCCTGATTTTGAATGTCGAGCACAAACAAATAAATCACAAACCCAATTCATTTGACTGTCTGGTGCTCTTTCTACAATGGTTTTTACAATTACATGTATTACTAAACAAATAATTAGATACATTTCAATATAATTAAAAATGAGAGGATGAGTTTGCTGAAGGGTAAATCTTCAGTTGACATTTCACAGTCTTGAAAACTGTGGATTCGTACCAAGGATGGAATACAAAAATGTTAAAAATGTACATCTTATAATTACATTTGACTTACACTCTACATCTATGTCGAGCACCGTTGAGTTCTGTTCTCCCTCTCCAGTCTGCATCTGACAGTAGTAGCTGCCAGAGTCATCAGAGGCAACGTTGCTGATGTTCCACACCTGTCCACTGTAGCTCGGGGTGGCGCTTGTGGTCTTGAACCATCTGAAACGGGCCTGTGGATTGGCTGAAGGGCTGCAGCAGGCCAGACGTAGATCGCCGCCCTCAGTGATGCCACCAGACGGACTCGCTGATGTTGAGACTGCACTGGAGGACTCTGGAGAAAATTAGACTTTATATGTATACATGTAGACATAAAATCATCAATCATCAAAATAGTTTCTTTATGTAATTGTCAAAAGTTGTCTTTTTTTCCTGAAATTTTAATTCTGGTTAAATATTTATTCTGGTGTGTATTTATTCCTTTCTACATTATTATACAGGCTATAAGATTATTATTAACAGTTTTAGCTTACAACAAAGGTAAGGTCTAAAGTTGAATATGAATTAATATATTCATTTTAAAAAGCCACTGGGTGCAAGGTTTAATTATAATAATACACTTTGGTTCTCTATATTCCCAGATAAAAAAGGACATGACCTCAGTCTGATTCATTAGTCTGAGTGTTGGTTTGAATCATTTTGTCATGAGTAATAATATATATGATTACAGTACACAATCTGATTTGAAAACAAATGATAAAGACATATATCTGGCTTATCTGTAACTCATTTCTATTCTACTGTATTTCAGAATGTGTCTTCTTTTGTTTTGTAAGGCCTATTGGTTAATAATATTACGTTTTTATGGAATTACGCAACATGGAAACGCAAAGAAACAAGGCAATAACAAGTGTTTGACTTCACTCAGATATTTCTCAATAATTGCTAATGACGTCTTAGTGGTGGAACAACAGCTTCACTTCCAAAACACTCACTACCCTGCCCCACACACTCAAAGTGAGACTGGCTCTCGTCAGGCTCTAATACTTGAACCTCTGCTACATCCCCATTTGTTTAATGTTCTGCAAAGACAAATTACAGTTTGTCCACACATGTCTGGTTGTGAAAGCAGTTTGTACACAAAGATATAAAAAGCTCATTGGAAAGAAGGAATTGACCAGACTGAGTTGCTTATTTATGTAGAGACAGTTTCAGTTCTACTTCTCTAAAAAAGCACATACTGACAACACTTAATTCTGTAAGACTTCCAAATGGTTTGTTGCTTTGTTTCAGCTTCGAAAGGTTCCTATCATCATCTATGGAAAAAAGAAAGATCCTAACACTTATCATTACAACTCAGTTCATGAAAATAAAGGATCAAATCAAATAAACTAAAATATAATAATGATAATTTTGTTTATATTGCTCCTTTCACCAAAAATTACACTGTGCTTTTCAATAAAACAAGTCATACAATCCAAAACAAAAAATGTAACAAGATAAAATACTATAAACAGTTTTAACCATAGGGACAATTAAACATATGCCATACAATTAAAGTGAAGAGATTTTTCAAAGAAGATAACAAACACTCTCCTATAAACCCTTTAAAGATGGGAGTTTTTTCATTGTTACTCTGTTTTACTTTAGTTTTATTTCACCAGCTACCAATGTTAAAATATGTTCATGTTGAGACTCAGTTTATAACTACAGATGACGTCACTTTTCTGCTGTTTATCATTTTAGGGAATGAATAACGATACAGTGAAGGTATGTTTTGTTTTTGCCTTGTTCCATTTGAAGTGATGGTGAATTATTCCCACCTGCCACCAGCAGCTGTATGCCTCCCTGCGCTGGCATCTTCTGTGTGGGGTGACTGGTGATGAGGTAAAACACGTAGCTTCCACTGTCTGATGGTCTCAGATCCGAGATGCTCAGAGAACAGTTCTTTGTTCCTGCTTGTCCCAGGTACTGCACCCTGTTCTGGTAGGATGGATCTAGGAAAATACCAGCACTGTGGAACACATACCTGACACACACACACGCACACACACACACACACACACACACACCGAGGTACTTAGGTTTTTTTCTAAAATTAGCTGTAGATGTCTGTGTCCTCTGTTCCAATACCTCTGGGTGATACAGCGGCTGTCTTCCAGACACCACATCTCGGACAACACTTCATACTCCTGCCTGTCTTCACCTCCTCCACCCTATTAGAGAACAACAAAGATAGTTGCTGCCAAATGATAAATTCTGTGTTTATTTTATTTTTGACTCTAGGTCTTCAAACCTCTTTTAAAAGGTTCAACCTTCAGTAGTAGGTGACTGCACATATCCATTCTTTGCCTCACAGGTTTTGGCCCTTGCAGAGTGCACACCGTGGTCGACACACGACCTGCAGAAGCTAACAATGCCTCCTTTATTCAATCACCTGACTAGAGAGCTGTTCCTCTGCCCTGGTTTCATTTGAACTTTGGGGGTAGTCATAGGAACAAGGAAGAACCACCGACGAACCAGTGACAGCACAGATGGGACCAGAGGGGTGATGAACTGACCAATCACCAGCTAGAATACCTGAGGGGCATAAGATGTGAGTTAACACATTATAATCATTTATATCCATGGAGAAAACTTCTGGGTAATTAGTACTGTGATGGAACAGAACAAATCTGTAAAATATATTTTAAATAAATGATCATAACCACAATATAAAGATATACGGATGTTAATGTATCAGTTCCTTTCAGCAATTTCAGTATTAAACTACCACTATATTGAGATAGAGTGGAAACATGATCAAAAACACAGTATGGTATATGAAAACAGAAATAGAGAGATTAATATTCATGAAAGGCTTTCTGATAAAAGAATGGGACTGAGACATCACTGATTCCTGAAATGACCAGGGGCATCTTTTATAACCGTTGCGTACACACAAAAATGTGCGCTGAAACGCTCCAGATCTCCTCAGACAGGCTGTTCCAGAGCCTCAGGGCCGGAATGCAAAAGCCCTGTCCCCTCAGCCGGGCCCGCTGGAACTTACAAGAGGCCCCTGCCCGAGGATCTCAAAGTAAAAGGTAATATAAGCTATAGCTTAAACGGAGACCTTGCAGAGCTTAAGAGTAATCAGTACAAGAGTCTGAAACAGGGGTGATATGATCATGTCTCTTAGCTCTCCTTAAAAGAGTGGATGACAGGACTGTTTTTGTAAATTAAAAATAAATAAATCAGCTGATCTATACTTGAGGTGGGAGCTATCATGAATGTTGCTGGTACTTCTACATAACATAATCTTACCTTTCAGAGATAGTGTGAGGAGCAGCCAGCAGCCCTGTGTCACTTCTCCACCCATCTTCTGCTCTCTCTGTTGTTTTGCAGGAGGTCTCCTGGCCTGTATTCCTCTTCGGCTTCACCTTCTCTCTTCTTCTCACCTCTTCTTCCCTGTGATCCACTTGTCCTTGAGCAGCCTCGTCTAGCAGTCTGACTTCCTCTACTCCTCAGCAGGGTCAGCGATGTGTGTGTTTCTCTTTCTTCAGAACAAACACTTAGGTCAGACTTCAACTTCCTTTTTTATTTCCCTTTCCGAAAAGGAACTAGGGTGATGATTGGACTTTGATATCAGCAAAGGAATCTTAGCATGGATATGTGTCACTGAAATTCAGACTAAAAACATGATGTTAATGTACTCGCTTTGAGAAAAATTTGAAGGTCAGGGCTTACGGACACTTGGATGACACCACAGGAGCAGTATGGAGGTATGTTGTTTTTCTGTTGTTTTAATTTTACAATTAAAGAAGTGGTCACCATTTACTTCAGTTGCATTGGATTTGACCCCTGAGTGTTTTGTGGACTCAAAGGCTTCACCCACCCCTCCATCGGCATAGTTATGAGTAATGAGGGAACATTCATTTTTGGGTGAACTATCCCTTTAAAGCTTGGTTTGAGGGTTAGGGTTAGAATGAGGTGAAGGTTAAGGGAAGGGGCTGAGGAATGCATTATGTCAATGAGTGTCCCAACACGAGACGTGCATGTGTGTGTGCATGTGCATGTGTGTGTAATGCAGTCATATGATTGCAGCCACATGCTGTTGATGTGTGTCATTCTGGTGATCCATGCTCGTGCGTTCACCTGTGCGCACAGCTCTCGTGCGCGCTCTTGTCCAGCCAGAAGCGTGACGTGACGTCACTGCTGCCCCTCCAGTCTGCGCAGCTGACCACTCACACCACACACACACACACACACACACACACACACACTCACGATCCCAGCGACAAACTGCGGATAAAGTCGGACTAACTTGTGTTTCACCTGCTCCAGTGGTTCCAGATGTTTCTGTGTGTTCTCCTAGAAGCGGGCGCAGGTGGCTTTGGTTGAAGGAAAGAGTCCAAACTGTCGCTGAAAACTCTTCCTCTGTGTCTTTCTTTCTCTGCGGTCAGTAACCTTGGACGAGAGACAATAGGGATTCACTGAAAACTGGGATTTACCTGTGGTGGCCTCTTTTCCATTTTTTGGGAATAAGTTTGATTGTTTCTTTTTTCCAAGAAAAGAAAAATAAATACAATCTGAGGAGAAGAAAAGACAGGTGAGTCACTTAAAGAGTGTATTTCAGCAGTCTCTGATTTATTTCCTGCTCTAACATTAGTTTCATGATTATAAACAGGTTTTACACTGTGCTGCTGTTAATCTAGATTAGATCTGATGTTAATCTCGATCTGTTAAAGTCATAGTTAAAAGTTGAACCTGTTAAATGAGTCAGTCTACATTAACCTGATGGAGCATATGGGCTACTAATGTGATATGAATAGCTAAGAGCTAAATCACTAAATATTATAGTTTCTAATTACTCAGTTCATTCACAACAGGTTAGGAGACAGGAAAGGATGCATCTGAATTTCTTCAAAAGAAAGTGCACATGTCTCATGTGACTTCATGTTTCCAGGACACTGAGTTCTCTAACTGTTTTAACTTGTGCTGAGGCTGAACAAAACATTCAGCTCACTTGTATATGGAGTTATATGTGATTAGATGTGTACGTGTGATTTAGATACAAATTATAGGAAAAGACAAAGACACAAGTTATTCATTGAGAATGCGTTAGAGAGGAGTGAGCCCTTGAGTGTGTGTGTGTGTGTGTGTGTGTGTGTGCTTGTCCATATATCTTTGTGAGTACCACTTTGAGCATAGACCTTTTACAGACATTTTAGCCTATCCTCACTGTTCACAAAGCTGTTTGAGGGCTAACACATGACTTTTGGGTTAGAATTAGGTTAAGGTTAGGGTAAGGGGCTAAGGAATGTATTGTGTCAATGATTGTCCTCTGAAACATAACTGTCAAAATACTGATATCTGTTTACTACGATTGTATACTTTAAATATATAAGGAATATTATTCGGAAGAAGGGTTAGTATAGGTTTTATAAAAAAGATAGTGAAAGTAGTCCTTCCACTTCACATTATCAATGGTATTCAAATGCTCTCTTATTTTTCTTTCTGTGTATCGCTCCATTAATGGGGGCTTTAGGGACTATTGGATTGTTGATATTGTTCTCCTGCCCTGAGGAGTCAGGAGAGAAGGAGGGAGTAAGGAAGGAACGGAAGAAGGACGGAAGAAGACTGATCATCATTGCTGTCCACTGTGTACAGATGTATGTTGAGAAAGTTGTAACTGAGGGGAAGATGGGTGAGTGCACATTTTACAAACACAGTTCTCTCTCTCTCTCTCTCTCTCTCTCTCTCTCTCACACACACACACACACACACACATACACACACACATGCAGCTGTGCTGGAAATGCCATAGCTCACGCTGCCCGTTCTCTGTATTTGGGAGCAGACATTAGTCCACTTGACAGTTAACTATTAACAGATTTGTACAAAGTTGGCTGACCATCTCTCTGATTCTCTCTTCATTTATTTTAGAGATTTGTCATTCAGCCTGAAAAACATTTACTTATATTGGTTGTAATATTTTCTCTTTAATAAAAACAGAGATGTCTGAATCCAAATAGAAATATGATAGTGATGATGATACGTGGGGCCAGAAATGACCAGATACAACTTAATTTCAACACATCATTCACATTAAAAACTACATAGAGAGTTTAAATTCACTAGTTTGGGGTTTTATTTTGATCTGCACCAAATTGCACACCCTCATAAATATCAGTCCTGTCATCAATATCTATTAATTATTCTGAGAATAGAAGAAAATGTTAAAGAAAGTGAAAAAAAAAATCTTGGCTCTGCCCCCTGCTCCAGACGTACATCCAAACTAAAAGGATTCTTTCCTCCATCTTCCACAACATTTTGTGGAAATCTGTCCAGGAGTTTTTCCATAATCTTCCAAAAATATCAAACATTTAGATGAATACACAACCTCCTTGTTGGAGGTAACAACACGCTCATGTAACCCACTGTGCCCACTTCACAATATACAACTCTCCTACTTCATTCTAACACTGCACCCCCGTCAGCATCAATGAAACATCAAAACAGAAAACCCAGAGAAGACACATCTTTCCTCCTGTTGGTTGCCATTTGTTTGAATGCTGTGTTGTGGTGTTGATGTGCGGGTTAAACACTTTGGCAGCTTTATGGTTCCTAATGAGTTTACTGCAAATTATATGATTGCTTTATAGAAGGAAAGATAAGATGAGTTGCTGCTGATAGAAAGCTTGTGTGTCACTTTGCACTGTGAAACTACTTTTTCCTATTGTGACACGCTTTTATTTTTAACACAGATTTAAAACGTTACTGAGAAATCACATGAAGTCCCCCTAACACGTTTTAACCCTGTTCCACAACACAATAAGTACCCACCTTACATTGCAGAGCCAAACTGAATGTCGCTACCATGAAGTCAGCAGCCTCCCATTAAGCGAAGTCCTCAGAAGAAAATTGATATCATGTCAACATAATCCAATCTCATCGGCGTTTCTTCTTGGTCATTCAATGTCCTCGTTGTGCTTTGACTTACTCTCTGTCTGAACGTGGCCGGCTTGATGTTTAACGGTTTCTGTAGCCTGACTCCGAGTCCACCCAGATGCAGTGAATCACAATGTTTCTTTGGTGTGTGTAATTACAGGAGAAACACAGTCTAGTCAAGGAGTGGCACATGTGGCGAGGCTTGTTTTGTGTACGTCTGTGCTTATGTTAGATTAGGGGAGACATCAGTTTCAGAAACAAGCTGTATTTACCTTCAGTTGCGACACGCTCAAATGCAATGCACGTGTGAACGAATGCAGCAACACAAATATGCACACTCACACAAAGGCTATCACAAACAGTATTTTTCTAATTCGGCTAATATTTACTGCACACTACGATTGTGTTTATTTTACAGTTTTCCATCAGGGCAACCACTACAAGTGTGCGTCATTGCTTATGTTGTGCCTTCATCTTTATGAATGTGAGGTCTGCTTCATCCCAGCCCACCACACCTAGAAACATTTGGTAGGTTCTTGTTTAAAGGTGGTTCTGGTTTGGGTCATTTAAGTTTAACAGTAGTTTTGTAATGTGTTTCCTCAAAGTCCAAATGTCAGTCCATGATAACACAGTGGATGCTGACTGTGCAGTTGAGAGTGGAGTGGATCAGGAGACATAACAAACATAAAAATAGCATTTTAAGAATGAACTTTAATGCTTAACTTTATGCCAACTCATATAACAACAACAGCTACAGGTCAAAAGATCTATTTCCATGACAACTGAATAAACTATCAAAAGAGTTGGTTAAGAAACTTAGTGCGCAGACCTTGAGTACAATAAAAGACTAACACTCAGAGAAAAGGGCTTCAGAGGGTTTGCCACAGAGAAATAACAAAGCAAGCAAAGTCTCCTCATTTCTGTTTTGAATACACCATGTGTTGTCTCTGCATTTTGGTCTGGGGCAGGGCGTGGACGACCACGCATCTCATCTGGTGCACAGCTGCTTCTTTTTACCCACCCTGAGATGCTACAGTAGGCGGGTGCAATGCATGCTAAGCTCAGGGTTTCCCTCGCAACATCCCACAGAAGAAGAAGAAATGACTCACCGAACCTTTTCCACTCTGCTGCATGTGGCTGCACATATGACTCATGGGTGAGGGTAGAAATAACAGAATATATGTTATGTGCAGCATGTGGATATGTCACATATGATGTCACCTAATGATGAATGTGCACCTCTCGTACCAGCTCTGTTTACCGGAGTGGCCACAAGCCATGGCAACAACAGATCCAGTCACACTATGGGTACGACAGCAATATGTCCAGAATGCTTTGAGTGAATTTCGAGGGACTGTAGCTACTTTCAGACATGCACTGAACTCCGGATAATCTCCTGACATTCTGAGGAGGGGCTACGTGTGAGAATGCAAAAGTCAGAGTTCAAGGCCCTGGACTTTCTGCACTGTCTTACCAACCGCTTATAATTCTGGATCATGTGCTAATCAACCCCTGTGAGAAAACAGCAGGAGATCCTTAAGAGGAGTCATTGCCAGTGGTGAGCGCATTGGTGACGTTTCTAAATCAATACGAATACGTCAGGATGATAAAGTGAGAGAGTGTTTGGTGATCAGGGCCGACACCAGTGTCTTTATGCTGTTAACAGTATGATAAGATTTATATAATCCTGCTTCCTGTATGCTCACCTTAACACTCCGGGGATGTCTGTGTTGTTGTGAATGCGTCTGACAATCGGCGTCCTTCATATGTGAAAGGCCCCATAGTTGGGACATTCTTCAGAGTTAAGAATACTGCTTTAATAACTGCTTTTTACCAAAAATTCATACAAAGTGGAAAATAAACATTTGTAATTTATTGTGGCGTTCCACTGACGTTGTTGTTGCACGTCATAATCCTGTTCCAATGATGTAATTACACGTAGTGTCCAAAAGTGTTGTTTTCTTTAGCTGACGAGCTCACTCTAAAGTCATCTACATAGAACATTGGAAAGTAGAGGTTAGTGAATGAGTGGGGGACTTCTGACACAGCCTTAAAGTCTCTTCTCCATTGTTGAAATTTCTTCCTTGTATCTTATAGTGTTTTCATTCAAGTAATTGGCTACACTACCCCCCCATGATTTCCTGTGATACTTCTAAGTTTAGTCTGTTTCATCCATATCCGTATTCGTTGAGAAAACAGTGTATGACTCTTGAGAAAGAAATGTGTCATTTGTCATCGTCTTAACAGAATTGTGTGTTGCCACACTGAAACTCACACACACACACACCCACGCACACATATAGGAGAAGGAGAAGTGGACACAATAGAGTGCTTGTTCTGCCCGGCAATGTGAGAAGGAAGAGGACTGTGTGGGTGTAGGAGAGAGGGGAAGAAAGAGGAGGAAAAAAGTTTAAGAAGAAAGACGAGTGGACAGCATGAGGGTTGGTGCTGAACCTGAGAGGAGTGGAGGAAATCTGGGGTATTTCTCAGAAATCACAATCTAATGAACAGATCCCTCTGGTAATATGTCCAGTGGATGTCAGACATTGATCAGAAGATCACTAAATATTTCCTTTGTTCACTTTTTCTGCCTGAATTGTCTTCATCTCTCTGAGTCCTCGTTGTTAATCAGAGTTTTAAAGTCCAAGGAACAATAACGCCATTGTCACACTGAGTGCAAGTCTGCAAGGGAAGCGTAACGGAAGGAGGGAAGGAGAGAGGACAGGTATGGAAGTGGAGGAGGAGCAAACAGATGGCACAAAGAGGGGAGTTGTGGCAGGAGGGAGGAGAAGAAAAGGTGGAGCGTTTAAAAAGAAGAATACAAACAATCGAGAGACAGGTAGAGGTGGGCAGGAAGCGGCTGTGGTGCAGAGGAGAGGGAGCAGATTTGAGGAGATAGCGGAGAAGAAGGTTGAGGTTGGATCCACTTCAGTCTTCAAGACACATACATAAACTTACATGGACTGTTCTTGTTCGAAACCACTTGTATGGTTGAAATATTTAACATGTTTCCTATGAATATTTTTATTCTAAATGTCAAAGTTCCATCAAAACATTTGAAGGTTTAATTAATATTTCCCCCCCTGCAGAAAATAGGAAAGAGAGGCATGTGAGAGAGGAGGGAAAATGTTGGAGGCAGGAAGGAAACTGTGCATGTACACAGTTTTGATAAGGAGGACTTGTATACTAACAGTATCTCCAGCTGTTTCCCGCCTCACAGATGAACGGTATTACTGTTACAGTCCTGACCGTCTCATAGGGAACAGAATATCCAGTCAAAGTCAGGACACCTCTCTTGCTTTTCTAGAACAAATACTTACTGATGCAGGCTTTCTTGATTTAAATCTCTCTCCTAAGTTTTTTTGACTGCAGGAAAATCACAGGTTGAAATATCAAAGCGAATGATGGCTGAATTCCATTTAGTCTCATTTGGGTTATTGGGTTTTTATTCCCTATCACACAGCTAACTGGGACACTTGAATATATTGCACCAATGGTTGAAGTTGTTTGCAGCATCTGTGCTTTTTCTACATTTTCAAAACAAAATACATTAATGTCTTCATGAAAAACACAATGGGTTCTCTCCTGCTCTGTACTGCATCCTTCCACCAAGTTTCATGGTAATTTGTTCAGTAGTTTGTGCTTAATCCTGCTAACTAACAAACAGACAAACAAACAAACAAACAAACAAACAAGAAACACAACCTCCTTGGTAATGATGGTAAATGAGTAGTAAGCTATAGTACTATAGTAAGCCATTATAGTCAGCCAGCACGCATGATATGAGGGTTTATTACTGTTCATATTTATGCCTGTGTATTTTATCAGGTTTGCAATGAACCATGTGTTTTAACACTAAGCTGTGGGTCAAGTTGACAAATTGTGCTCAGAGCAGTGGACAACAAGGCAGAAAAAAACACTGAGAGCAACACACGCCGGTGGACACACACAGGACAGACATGGCACGGACATGGTTTGTTCTTGCCCGGCGGAGAAGTGCTTTAGACTTTAGACTATTGATTGAATCAATGTCACTTGTACTTTTCAGCCTGTGCCAGAAAATATGCTGCATGCCCCTTCACATTGGGACACTGAGCGGAAACTGTCCATTTTTGCTGATGTTTGTTGTAGGGTGGTTGAGTCCAAAACATAGAGCCACAATCACAGAGCAGCAGTCAGGACTTTTGCTTTGTATTATCTTGTCAAACATCTGCATGCTTACATAAATATGAGCAGAACACAGTTAATGTCATTGTTGTTATATTTCATCTCTTAAGTCTTCTCTTCAGCTTTGCATGTTTATGAAATTGTGAAATGTTTGAAATGTTAAAAGGCTTGTGAGCTGCTGCTGCTGCTGCTGCTGCTGCTGCTGCTGCTGCTGCTGCTGCTGCTGCATGTGTGCATTCATGTGTGTGTCTCTGAGTACAGGCACTCCATGTTCACTAACGTGTCTGTGTGGGGGTGTGTCTGCAGGGAGCAAGGGAATCTCTCTGACCTGTGTGTTGACCCCCTGCCGGGTGATCGGAGCATGCGTGACGCTGATAATCTTGGGAGCCATTGGAGCAGCCGTTTGGGCCGTAGGTTAGACCACATGCTCTTACACATTAGACACACAATCTATATTCTAATAAATCTGATGATTAAAAGTCTTTTGTTATTCCCTGTCGTACATTGCACTGATGCCCACTGTGTATATTACTCTTCTGCAGTTGTGTATTGTACGATGGAGGAAGACACAGGCCTGTATGATGGTGAGTATGAGAGGACATGCTGATGGTTTCAAAGATGAGAATAGATTTCTAATATGTAGCGTTACATCAGATTTTAAGCTTTGGTATAACTAGATTGGCCATTTACACAGCATATTGCATATACATATATTGAGATCAGAGATCACGTACACAGGTTCTGCAAACTACTCACAACGATATTCATTGATTGAAGTGATGAAAGATCACCCCCCTAAATTTGATTCATGAATTGATTTGCACAAAAAAACAACTGTTCATAGATAATCGCGCTCTACAGATGTTGGATTTTGTTTTTAAATAAAGATCTTTTTTAATAAAGGTCTTGCGAAATTTACAAAAATGTGAAAAATTGCAGTCAAAATGTTAAAGACAGTGAAAAAAAACTTCATCTGCCACCTGATCCTGATCCACACTAAAACTGAATGAATTCTCTCTGACCCAATCCTCATCCTTTCACTAAATGTTGTGGTAATCCATTAAGTCGTTTTTCTTGAGTGAAATCCTGCTAATCCACAGACAAACCAACAGAGATGAAAACATAACCTCTTTGGTAGAGGTGATAAAAATCCAATGTCACTAGGATGAGTCACAGTTAATAACTATATGTGACAGGCAAACGGGAGTGTGTGTGATTTTTTTACTAAACCTGTTTTGTAATTAAACCCATATCACTCCCTGCAGTTCAGGTCAATTCTGCTGACCAACGTCTCAGAGTCTTCGATCCCACACAGAGGAGGTGGCTTCAGGTGTGTTCCTCCTCAGCCAATGAGCTGCTTGCTGGTATCAGCTGTGAAGAAGTGGGCTTTGTCAGGTGAGATATATTATTCTTATCATGTGAATGTAGTAACATTTAGCATGAATTTGATATGTGTCAGTTTAGGGGTTAATGCAAAGTCCTAATAATGATAGTGTGTGTGTGTGTGTGTGTGTGTGTGTGTGTGTGTGTGTGTGTTTCAGTGTGGCTAATTACTCAGTCACATCGGTGCCAGAGGCCAGTGGAGATCCCGGAGAGTTCTTCTGTGTCAGACAGGAAGAGCTCAGCTACGGCAAGAAAATCAAAGACTCGTTGTTCCCATGGTAACAAACACCTGTCTGTCTGTCTGTCTGGTCCGCCACCTGTCTTACAGCAGTCTAACACTGGCTGTTACTGACGCTGTGTGTCTGTGTTTCAGTGACTGTGAGAGCAGGGAGGTTCTCACTCTGCTGTGCCAAGGTAAGAGTTCTCTGTGACACACTGGTTCAATTAAAGCTATAGGGCTGGTTATTCTGGAAAGGTGAGCAGACTACACTTGAGAAATGCAATGCAACACACAGTGCACACGACTGCTCGGTGCAGAATTACCCACCTTTAACACTGAATCGGTGTTGAGATGAGAGGTTGAGATCAGTGTCACTGATCGTTTACATCCGGCTCTCATCATTTCCAAAGCCCGCATCACACTTTTATTAACTCCACCAAAGAGGTTTTGCTTCCATCTGCATCTGTTAATTTGTTTGTTAGGGGTGAGACATGACCCGAGGAGGAACCCATCACATTTTGTTGCAGATCTGAATCAGACGACAGATTTTTTTTTTCACTTTCTATAACATTGCAAGAGACTTGAGATTGCAAACCGCTGAAAATATTGCTGATGTGTTAAAATGGTCAAGTGAAGACAGAGAACATTAAAAGGCTGGTGTCCTCTTTTATTTGATGTTTAAATACATTTAAAAAAAATCTTTTGTAACAACGAAGGCTGAATGGCTATTTCTAATTGCATTTAAATTTGATCTATTTCTGGAAACCATCTGAGGACCCCCCTCTCAGTGTCTTGCTACCCACTGGGGGTCCCGATCCCAAGTTTGGGAACCACTGATATACCATATGTTAAATAGTTTCACATTTTACCCATGAATTTATTTTATTTTCCTCTCCTCTCCTCATCGGCAGACTGTGGCAGGCGTAGTTTTGCAGCAGACCGTATAGTCGGTGGTGTGGATGCCAGGCAGGGCAACTGGCCTTGGCAGGTCAGCTTACAGTACGATGGAGTTCATCAGTGTGGTGGATCAATCATCTCAAACCGCTGGATTGTCTCTGCTGCTCACTGCTTCCTCGAGTACGTGACAGAGCTGCATAAGACACAGAAATGAAAGCTCCATCATGTTTGAGATAACAATTTTATTAAGTTTTAATGACAGGATCTGTATCAATATAAATAATTTAGTAATAAGTAGCATGTCCTGACTCTAACATGAAAGAATGTCTGCTCCATCTGTGTGTGAGGTGGGGTATTTGTGTGTGGACAGCTGAAACAACTCTGAGACATTGTCGCTTCCTCACCTGTCGCTCCTCCTACACTAGACGGCGCTTTGTGAACCGATGGCGTGTGCTGCTGGGCTCCATCTATAACAAACCATCCAATGCCATCACAGCGGAGGTGAAGACCATCGTTTATCACAGCAGCTACTTGCCCTCTGTAGATGCTAACATTGATGACAACAGCAGGGACATCGCCGTTCTGGCCCTCACTCAACCGCTTACTTTTACTGGTAAGACACACACACATATGCACACATACACGGAGGGACAGAAACAGAGACACACAGTCACCATGTAATGAGCCTGTTTTAGGTTTCCTAATTCCTCCAGGACAAAAGTTATTTCATCCAACATAATTACATCAGTTATGAACCGGATACAACCAGTTGCTCTTATTACTTTAACACTGATGCACTTCCTTTCTGCCCTGGAATCCCCGGTCTCCTTTAATAAAAGATGTTGTCTGTCTTCTCCTAATATTAATGAAAAAAGGACCAACTCACAGCGATCTTACTGTAATATTGAGTGTTTGTGCACTCATGTAATGCTTATGTCCTTTTACACTTTGTAAAGGACACATAACAAGCAGTGTATCAACAGGTCCGGTCTGACATCTAGTGTTTGGTGTTCATACTTACAACCACAGCGGTTGTCAACAGTGTCATGCCGAATTTATTCAGAAAATCACTTTTGACTTAGACAGATATTGTCCACAGTTTAAACACAGGGGCCAATTACATGATTCAGTAAGGTGAGCATTTAAGTCGTTGCTTGTCAACTGTTAGCTCTATAGCTTTCAGCAAAGCCACACATTATTGAATATATTTTCAAAAATGTTCCTTGTTCAAGCACGTTGTGTTCTTCTAAAAATCTTAGAAAATAAAAATTCTTAACAAATTATCATAGTGATTGTAAATAAGTTATTAGTTTTTTAAAGATCACTTACAGGTAAGGGGCAGTTCAGGGGCCAATCAGATTGCAGAAGGGACCAGCGCTGCTGTGTTCAGCAACAGTCCTTCTCAGTGAAAAGTCTTCAGTAGTCAAGGCCTCATTTTATTACGACTTAATACAAGGACACAATTGGCTGGAACCCATTTAGCTGCACGGTTATTTATCACACTTACAACTGAGTGTTTTTTATAAATCGTAGACTGGAAAAAATGATGCTAAAATATCCCAGATGCAAATTCTGTCATCCTGCGCATTTGGAACCACAGTCTGTGCAGTAGAGATTGTTGTTGGGAGCTGTTGTAGCGACTAGTTAGTCTCAGCTGTCAATCATGATGTTTCACCCTGTATTTAGCATCATTTAACTAATTAAAACTAAACTTACTGGAAAATGAGCAAAATATGAATGACAGAGACCGTCTTTGAGAAAAAATCTTTTGATGTGTACTTTGACTTTTCAGTTGGGTCCATATCTTATCTGCTAAATGGAGGAGGCAGGGTTTATAACCTATACTGCAGCTGATGGTTCAGTATTATCATACACACGTTTGCTTGTATCTTAAGACACAGAATATGTTTGTGTGTTTTCGGTAGAATACATCCAGCCTATTTGCCTGCCAGCATACGGTCAAAGACTGATAGACGGACAGATGGGAACTGTGACGGGCTGGGGAAACGTTGGGTACTACGGTGAGTCTGCAGCTGTATCATCATAAACTGCAGAAAATCATTTAATGACAGTATTGATTTCTTTAAATGAAAAATGAAAAAATGTATTGAAACAAATTCATTTGCCTTTTAGTGTATATTTTGATTTAAATAAATACATAGAAAGATGAAAATAAAGTGATAAAGTCTTTACTGAAAACAGATACTGAAGAAGCAGATTCATATATTGGTGTTTATATTCTGTAGTATTGTTGGTTTCACTAGGGATGTTTGACTCGCAGGTCATCTAGCAGACGTCCTCCAAGAAGTGAGCGTCCCCATCATCAGTGACGCTGTCTGTAACGCTCCCGATTACTACGACAATCAGATCACCTCCAGCATGTTCTGTGCTGGTTATGAGAAAGGAGGCACTGACGCCTGCCAGGTCAGAGTGTGCATGTGTTCATGTGGTTTCTAATCAGGGAACCATATTCTCAGATATGTCCTCATGTGTGTATCAACTTTATTTAATCTATAATGTACTATCTGATGAATATATCCCATTTCTGTCAATGCAAAGGCACTGTGTGTGTAATCTGCTAACACCATATGTGGTTTCAGGGAGACAGTGGCGGTCCCTTTGTGGCGGAGGACTGTCTATCTAAGAGCAGCCGCTATCGTCTTCTGGGTGTGGTGAGCTGGGGAACAGGCTGTGCCATGCCAAAGAAACCTGGCGTCTACACCAGAGTGTCCCGGTTTCTGCCGTGGATATCCACCGCCATGAGGGTGAGAGGCTGGATGCTTTGTAGTTTATTGTGTTGTTATTATGCCAAATAAAGTCATAGGGATAATAATACTCAGGTTATCTATAAACCACTCACCACCAGTGTATGGACATTTCCCAGACTTCCACATGCAAACACAAGCAGTCTGTAGATTAATGGTGTGAAATTCATGTGAAAGTAGAGTTTCTGTTTGTTTGGCCTGTGCCAGTGATGCTGGTTGCAATTTCCTTTCTGAAACTGTAAAAGAGATTTGCAGCAAGTAAAGACAAGTGCAGGACTCAGTCCACCCTGTGGACCCAGTCCAACCCTGACGATGCTGCTGTTCACCACTTTATTCAAAGTTCAGTGAAGCACACCTCAGTACGTAGAAACTCAAACTGGAGAATCAGTTGTCAGTGCCTCATGCTCCAACTCTTCGTTGGTATCTCAGCCGCTGCTGCTACAGAACGGTGGTGACCTGTTCATTTAAACTTAAGTTATTGAATGCATCGCGTCTTCAGTTTGACCTGCAGCTTGACCCAGTTGTCTACCACTGCTTTAGTAACTAGATAGATATAATCTGGTTTATCTGCTTTAACACTTTTATAGCCACGAGAACAGCATGATCAACAGAAGACAAGCTGATATTTACTCTCACCTCTCTCCTTCAGAACTATCACAACTCACCAGGGGTTCACAAATTGGCCCGGCCATGAGATCACTGCTCCTACTTTTCTACTTTTTCTACACTGAGACGACAACATGGACAGAACCTGTTGATGTCAAAGGGATGTGTTACAATGGAGGGTCTTGAACGCTGCGATGTTCCTCTTGTATCAAAGGATTTTTCCACTACTTTTCCACATGGTAAAATGTTTGCCAATATCATACTGCTTAAGAGAGCAGTCAAGCAGCCACATTTTGGGACAGTTACACTGTTTTTTAATCATTAGTTCAAGCACAAATGATCAAGGGCTCAGATTTGAGGAGAAAGTTGTCTCTCATTATGACGAGTGAAGAGGTGACCATGCAAGCAAATGTTAAATAAGTCCCAAGAAGCAAAAATCATATAAAAGGAAGCTTGTTCGCCAAAATAAAAGCCCAGCAGAGTATCACCAGAGTTCCTACGGATGACGTCTGTGGGTCAAAACCTTCAGGCAGCCATTCACAGCAAAGGACTTTCCACAAAATGTTAGATATGTAGATACGTATCACACGTATTCCTCCAATTTCTTTCTAACCTGTAAACTTTGCCTGCTGTGTGTTTAAAGGTCTTTATCTCCCCCACAGTTCTTTCTATGTTGATGTGAACCTTCTCAGATATAAGCTGAGACATAGCACCTTAATGTTATAAGATCCATGATTTTATTTCACTTGAATATCCCGAGCCTGAAGACTAACAACTGTCCAAATACAGCGATCTGGAATAAAGTTTTGTATATAAACACAGACAGAGCTCTTTAAGAGACAGGAAATAAAGTTACAATCAAACTTTATGAATTTTATTAATAAAAAACAAAAAGTGAAATAATATAAGACTTAAGATTCCTGCTGTGTAGAACATAATGAGATCATTTTCTGAAATGGCTTTTTCAATCAGAAACAAGTTAGTTTAATGTTTGAGCTAAACAGCAGTTACATTAATGAAGTCTTGTAAAGAGTCAGGTCTGTCTTCAATATTCTTGGTGTAATTACAAGGATTCATACAATAAGATTGGAAAGATTTTAAAGATCACGTGCAGCCTCAGCACTTTCTAAACTTTTACACTGTGAAACACAAAGACACAGACAGTGTCAGTGATGCAGGAGTAATTCCAGCTGATCAGTCTTATTTCAAAAAATTACAAATTTTTACACTGTAGAATTGACATTTTGTAATAAACTTGTGTGCTGAATGCAGTATGTGTGTATATGCAGTAGCCTGACTTCATCATGGATAATTATTCATACAAGATTTAAATCTTTACCAAATTTCCATGTTTGCATTTTGCTTTATTTTGTAAATATTAGTCAGTGAATATTCACGTCTTGTTTATGTAGATGTTTTTGTCTGACACAGATCTTATTGCCAAGCGTGCAATAACCACATCAATCATCTTCTCGTGAAATAGATCTTTTAGTACGTAGTAGAGAAGACTTTACTGTACCTCTGAGTACCTGTAGCTAACACTGTGTGTGTGTCCTGCACCTGGCCTGAATAAAGAATGGGATGTGAGCACTAATAACTCAATTTGAACCGTTTGTGGGATGTTTGCTCCTGACTTAACAGATTGTAATGTGATTTAAACTAATCCGACATAGAAACCACTTGACAACTGTATGATGCATGTCAATGCATCACATGAAGGCCCGAGCTACACACCACCCTTCCCTCCTTTAAAATAAAATGAATGTACAGTATGTGTGCATTTATAGCAAATGTGATATGAGAAATAAATATTGTAAGATGTAAATTGTTGCATTGAGTATTGTATTGAAGTCTTAATTAAAAGCAACTTGCCCACAGTTACTGTGACTTTATTACACAGTAACTGTGGGCACGTCTCTAAGCTGCTGCACATATAATAATAATAATAATAATCGCTGTGGTAGCTTTATCAAAAATAGTCCAATTATATGAAATACCTACTTCCGTAAGTGCAACTGTACAAATAAACAAAAGAACTAAACCTGCAGGAACACAGTGTTATAATAAAAACATCATAAAACCAAAGAATGAATAAAAGGTATTTTCAGTCTTTTAACAAACACTGGGCTGCAGACTGTTGTTCTTGTATTCACATCTGGATCAGCTTGATTGAACCAGAGTCGAGTAGATCACAGAATCATTAGTTTCTCCTGCTGTGGCCCTGAGGAGAAAATGATGATATTAATTAGCGGGTGGTACTGTGTCTATTCCATGGTAACACATCATTGTTAATAGATGTGAGGGTAGAATTCCTTAAATGTTTAGAAGCAGGGGTTCTCAAAATGGGTCCGGGGCCACTAGGGGTCTTTGAGGAGTTGTAGGGCGTCCCCAGCAGAAAGGGGAAATGTTTTTTTGCACTATAATTTCACCCATAAGTAACACACTTTGACAATATATGAGAATTTGGTCCTGGATGTCATACCCCTTCTGGAAATAAATCTAAAAATCCTGTCAAATTGGGTTCAGTCATTGTTGATGTTCTTCATTACACGGGGCATCTATTGGACTTCTGTCCATCCTGGGAGAGGGATCCCTCATGTGTGTCTCCCTCTGAGGTTTCTTAGTTTATTCCCCCTGTCAATAGATTGTTTTTGGTAGTTTTTCATTACTCTTGCTGAGAGTTAAGAACAGAGGATGTCACACCTTGTTGAGCCCTATGAGACAAATTGTGATCTATGAATATGGGCGATATTATAGAAGTAATTTCCACTCATCACCTCAGTTGCTGTAAGGTCCTGGCTATAGTTCAAAAATGTTTTATTTGTCTCTGTGACAGTCAAAGGTTTTATTTCATAACTTGGTCATTTAAGACTGTACAGTAACACTGACTGAAAACTACAGACATCATTAGACTCGACCGACAGTGAATAATAGATTATGAGGTGTGATGTTGAATGTTTGGCCGGTGAACCTACCTGGACTCTTCTGGAGCTCTGCTCTTGTTTCTGGGTTTGCTGGTCACTGTTGTGTAGATAAGTTCAGCTTCAACAGAAAAGGGAACCTGAATGGTTGAAAATATAATTTGATAGCCTGAAAATATATTGTGTTGTATCTTCTGCATTTGCACATTCATGTTCGTGGACCACATTTACGTTATGTTTGTGGTGTGTGTTCCTCGGATGCGAGGACGATCTCTGGATGTTGGCGTAAACAGCGTCCTGCTGAACTTCTGTGGCTGAAGAACTCAAGCCCTCTCCAATAATCCTGGAGCCGAACACAGTCTGCTACAGGAGACAAAAGGCAGATTAGGTTTTCCTCCATAGGTGCATTTTGGGTACTCATAACCCTCGTTCTGTCTCCACTAAAATTGTGTTACGCTAAAATAAGGTTAGGAATAAAAAAACATTCTAATAAAGAAAACACCTCAGGAAATGAATTCAATATTTCTTTTTTACATTTTTTTTTACATTTTTTTTACATTTTTTAACTCAAAAGCCAAGGAGATCATGTTTCTTCCTGTTTGTTTGTTTATTTTTCAAACAAATATTTCCATAAAATTTAGTGGAAGGATTTGACATGAGCCAAGAAAGATTCCTTTTAATATTGGTGCCTATTCAGACAAAGGGGCAAATTGTTTCACTTGATCTAACATTGCAATATAGGGCTTTATTATTTCCCCCACATTTTCACTAGTTTCCCAGGGAACATTTCATGAATCTTAGGGGACTGTTGGGCCTCGGAGGTATGTGCTCTACTGAGTGCTTCCTTTGCCAAGGAAGGTTTGTTTGTCTGTCTGCTGGTTAACTGAATAACTACTGGACGGATCCGCATGAAACTTGGTGGAAGAATATAGCACTTGTCTGGGAAGAACCCATTAAAGTTTGGTGCAGATCCGGATAAAGGGGAAGATTCAGGAATTAAAAATATTTGTTTTAACATTACGAGACCGGGCAGTTCTTTTTACATTTTCCCAAGCAGGGAATAATTTATGGATCTCATCTTGATGAAAAAAATCTGGCATATTTAGGGGAGCGATATTTATGAGCGGGTGCAATTTGCTACAGATCCAAATAAAAATCTGGATCTACTGAATTTACATGTGGTTTCATGAGATGACTCATGCCTATTTTTTATCTGTGTTACTGCTTGAATGGGAGGTCGAACTTTCCACTGACTTTTGATTAATTGACAGTCAATCAAGTTCAGATGGGTTATTTGAGGACTTTATTTAAATGCACTCACTTTTTCCGCTGCATGGGTTCTTTGCTTTTTCCTGTCAAAAAAACAACAACAACAAACAAACCCACATTTGTTAGCACATTCACAGCATATCTCTCTTGCTTGTTTATCAATCCTGTGGCTTCACATTTCAAAGAAGTTGTTTTGTAATAATGGGAAACACAGCAGCAGCAGGATATTTCAATAAACCACACACACACACATTTTTACTGACTGCCTGTTTTGCTAAAGGTTCAGCATCATAAATGTGATATAAAGAGATGTACATAAACGGCAGTAACCCTAACCCTAACCCGTGGGCACCAGGTAGCCCCCAAGGACCACATGAGTAGCCCGCAGGCCTGTTCTAAAAATAACACAACTCACCAGTGAGCTGCGTCTAAAATTTGATATGCGTTTCTAATTAAATTTAATTATTTACTTTTTATACTGTCAAATTTGTATTCCATATTGAAGTTGACTATTGACTATGATTTGTTAAAAGGGTTCGTCAGTGGCTCGTGAAAATGGGACATTTTTCTTATGAAATGTTGTAGAAGTGATCATCTGAAAATGTTAACAATGGCTGAGATTAATAGAAATAAAGTGTTGAATATTGACATGATCTGTTTCCCACCTTGTTAAGTCATTGTTGATAATTATTGTGAGAAATCATTAACGTGATCAGTGTCTTCACATAGATGAGTATCATTTATCATNTATCATTTATAATAATATATAACTAAAGAGTGTATCAAACTGGTAGCCCTTCGTATGACTCAGTACCCATGAAGTAGCTCTCAGTTTCAAAAAGGTTGGTGACCCCTGGTCTAGACCCTCTAGACCCTGGAATTCCTGTCCTACGTTCTGCTCCACCCCCTTCTAATCCTGATGATCACACACGGGTCTAAAACGCCCAAAGACTTAACGTTCACGTTTGTTAATAACGTTGATTGAACTGTCATTCATTGACTCACCAGTACAAAAGAAGTGCTACCACAAGAATCACCAAAACAACGACTCCTACTCCGGCTATGATCTGGTGCGTCTGGCTGCCTGAGGAGGAGCACACAGTAGGGTTAGAAAGGAGGAAGACAAACCTGACCCCTTCTCTGTGGAACACAATGATGAAGTTTTATTTTTTAGTTCCACAAACCGTGGTCCTCTCTAATCATGGTCAGTAGCATCTCAGCTGAGTTGTCTTCCCCCACACTGTTCCTGGCCCGGCAGAGGTAGAGTCCAGTGTGCGACGCCGTCATAGAGGGAAGAGACAGCACTTGTCCCCCACCCACCTGGAGCACTGTGCTGGAGCTGGAAGAGTCTGTCCTCTTGAACCAGGTGTAGTTGTCGGCTGCAGGGTTGGCCTCACTGCTGCAGGTCAGATTCACACTGCTGCCTTCAGCAGGTTGTTGAGGATCCACTGAAACTGACACGTTCATTGGGCCGTCTGAGAACAAGGACAAACAGCGCATGTGGAATGATGAGACAATAGACAAATCTTAAATCGGAGAGTCTCATGATTGAAGAAATTATCAAAAGATGTTTGAAGAGTAACGGGAGACAAAAGATTTACACTTTTTCTTGTGAGATGGATGTATTCACCTTTTCAGACCTCAAGGAATATTTCAAATAGAAAAAAACTCTCTTTGTTTGAGCTGCTCACAACTCTGACTAGAGCCTGTGATAAGGGGCCATAATGTGAAGGAATCTCAAGTAACACACGTGTTGAGCATCTTCAGCTGAAGAACGCTCATTTTTCTTGCACCTCTTAAATTATTCATTTCTGTTCAAAATTGTCAGGCTCATACAAAACATTTTCTCCAAAAGATGACAATTTCTTCCTGGCATAATCTCTATTCTAATCAGGTTAATCTGTTGAAGTTCTTTTCTCCTGTAGGCTGGTCAGGTTGATGTACATGTGGTCATGTGTAAACATAAATCAACATGGACATTTTAAAGCACTTCCTCCCCCTCAGAGCCTTTTACATTGTTTCCTGTCAAGACTCTTTCACACATCCTAATAATTCACATGTGCAGACTGGAGCAATATTGAAACTGAGGAAGTAGATAACTGAGAATTTCCAACTGTGCCATTTGTCACTTTAAAGGCTGACACAACATGAGAATAAAAATATCTATCTATCTATCTATCTATCTATCTATCTATCTATCTATCTATCTATCTATCTATCTATCTATCTATCTAAGAAACACATACATGAGACCAGATGTCTCAGTGCAGCATGTCTTCACACTCACACTGGACCTCAAGGTGAATGTGGGTTGAGTTTATCAGGTCATCTCCCATCCAGCTAATGTTGTTCCAGGCCTGACATTGGTACAGCCCACTGTCTCTGGGCTGCAGGTCAGAGATGGTGTGTTTCTGCCCTGAACTGATAAACTGTCTGTCCCTATACAGGCTGTATCCTCTCTGCGTCACAGGCGGGTTGGCATCACTGCTGCAGGTGAAAGTCACTGAACTTCCTTTGACAACGTCTCCTGGTGGACTCACCAACAGTGTTACTCTCTTTGGAGCATCTGATAGAAAGAGCATCAGGTATTTTAGCCACGCAGAGCAGACAAAGAAATGAAGTCAGGACATCATGACTGAGTATTAGAGTAAATAAACTCTCAATGATACAACAATATTCCTGGGTATTTTCTTACCTATGTTGGAGGGATATTAAGTTACAAAAAAAACATGAATCAACACTACATTCTAATTCTAAGTTATTATTTGTCTTTCTCTAATTTTATTTATCTCAAAGTATATCATGTACTCTATATTGTTGTGTAATGTTCAGGTCTTTATTGTGCAAGAGGAAATTATTTTTTAGTCCCACAGTCTGAATAAAAGGAACCTGTCTCTACTACCCTTTCATTATGTCCATGCACCTGACACCAAAAGTTCTTTACAACTAAATAAACCTCATTCCTGCAGACTGTGACGTAGACTGTTCAGGGGAATCCAGCCGCTAACTGTGGCCACTCATAGAATTCACTGACTCAATGGTAGAGTAGCTAGAATGGTGAATGTTGGATGGACTGCATATACTGTATATACCTCTTTTCTCAATTTAGAACCTCACACTACAGCACCACCTGTTTCATCTGCACAGCCATCAGGGGTTATTAGTGGTTCACTATATTACCAAAAGACACTTTTAGCATGCGGACCTGAGGAGACAGGGATCGATCGACCTTCTGGTTAGTGGACTACCCACTCTGCCTCCTGAGCAACAGTTTAAAATGCGTCTTTTTGGCTCTGAGGTAAAACTGCAAAACTGTATCCCTGTAACCGAGCAATAGGCCATCGCCAGTGAAGGAGATTCTGTTTAGTTCTTTTTCGCCGGTGTGTCACGTTTGACATCACAAATGTGCCAAAAACGCAGGCGCTCTCTCACCCTATTGTCTGCCAAATTAACTCATTCACCCGGTTGCACATTTCCATCACTGCTGATCAGAGCTGATAAAACCAGTGTCGACTGCAGAGTCATTAGACCCCGGAGTGAATAAGTGAATACCAATGCTGGATGTTACTGGATGTTATTAGTGGGTTTGTTGACCAGTGGAAATGAGGCTTTACATAGAATGATGCCAGGTGTGCTGTGGGAAAAAGCTTACAAATTGAGATAAAGTGTTAATAGTGTACTTACACTGAACATTCAGAGTCACAGAGTTGGATCTGACTGTCTCTTGTCCCTGGACAGCACAGAAGTACGTCCCAGCATCCTCTTTACTGGCCTGTACTGGTTTGGGCACAGGCCGTCCTTCTTTTAACCAGGAAATGGTTGTATGTGCACATCCGGACACACAGGTCAGGTTGACATCATCACCCTCTTTCACAGTGCTCGGATTTATGACAGCGGTTAACTCTGGTCCAGGTACAGAAAAGGAAAAAAAACAATTTCACTAAAAAATAAATAATTCATGAGAAGACTATACATTTTCAATTATTTTGTTATTACCTTTAACATTCAAATTAGCATGGGTTTTGCTTGTCCATCTGTCTGATGTTGTCACAAATCCAAAATGGTATAGTCCCTCATGAGCGAGTTGGACATTGTTGATCTTTAGATTGCAGTTACTATTTTTGTCACCCACGTATTTAAAGTCCCGGGGTGAAAAGAGACGAGAGAGGGGATACAGCCTCCTTTGGCCTTGGATAGATAGGGCTTTATACCAGTCCACTCTAGTGACTCTTCGACCAGAAGGGTAGTCATAGCTGCACTTCATAACTACTGACGTCCCTTTCAAAGCACACTGATTTTCAAAGGTCACGCTCCAATCTCCACTCCAAACACCTTCAGGCAAAAATGATGAAAAATACACGAGTTAAATTTGGTTGTAGCTGCAGTTCTCACAGGTGTGGATAACATCCAAAACACTACAATTGTGTGTTGTCATTTCCTTACCTGGCATAATAAGGATCATCAGCATCCAACTTTCCATCATCAAAATCTGCTTGGAACATGATGATTCAAAACACGATCATTACTTTACCTTCTGGTGAACGCACAATGTCAAAAAAGGGTATATTATGTCAAAGTACTCACCCGCTGAAGCAAACAGACTGAGTGCTTGTTGTTCATTTTGTGGAGTGAAAAGCAGAAGTGGGGAGGTGTCACCACACTGCTTCCTGTCATCATCAAACATTCAGTGTGCTGATTACATAAAGTGGGAAAGTCTTCACGATGTGTTCAGGGTCCTGCATCACACCAATGCAAAAAAAAGTTTTGGTAATCAGAAAGATTATGACGTTCCTGTAGGTTAGTGGAGATAAAGCTGCTTGAGCCAATCAATTTCCACCCTCAACAACCAAGAAGGATTATTGCACAAGCTGAGGCTGAGGCATAGTAAGACTTGGGCAGAGGAATCACTTCATGTAGAAATGTTGACGGTTTCACTTCTCGACAATGTTTGCAATTCACCTTGTTCCACTGGTGGTGTAAGAACAAATGAGAATCAGAAACTGATGACTACAACAGTCTTTACACAGATGATGGGATCTGAGTTTTTGTTTCAAAAATAAATCAGGTATGAAAAGGTATTTTTTAAAAAGAAGTGGATTTCAAACATCATTACTTGCTCCTACAGACAGGATTGGTTATCAACTTGGGCCCAGAGCAGATACAAATAATGCAGAGTCATAAGGAAAATGGTAAAAAGAAGATGATTTCTTTATTTTGTACGTGACCCATCCATAAATCTTGTTAGTTACAGTGTGGTTTCCAAATATTGTGTAATCATAGATAATAGATATAGCAAATACATACAAACAATACTATTGCCTACGATCACCATAATGTCATGTCAATTGTGATTATTAGGTGACGATAAACGGTAAATGTTTGACTAATACACACCTTCATTATCACATGCAAATACACACAAGCTTATAATAATAAGACACTTTGATTCAGGTTAAAGCAGCTGTAGACTCATATGAACGGGGCGATACAACTTTAACAGACAGAGCTCCCACGGAAAACAAGCAGTTACTGGTAGACAATCACTTCTTAGCAGACACTGGTCCACAGCTGATGTCGGCTGCATCCTCCAATGGCCACGTAGAAACAAAATTACCCTCATGGCCTTAAATTGATTAAATGTCACTCTACATCTTCTTTTCTCTGAATGGAATCTATAAATATGTTAATACGGCCGTGGGCCCTCCTCTCCGACTCCCCACCCTCACAATGCCACCAGCTACTGAGCTCCACCCACAAGTTGACATGATTGGTTTCTGGAGTTTGTGACATCACAAACTCATGGCTTTTAGAATCAGATTTTTTTTAGTCCAGGTGGACATTTGTTTATTGCAGTGTTGAGGTGTAGTGTACTCAGCCATGGTGCTGTTAACATGCTTAAAAACTAGATTTTCACCTAAGAGGATCTGTTTCAGGTTAGTATGTTGCTAGCTTCTGCAAACTAGGAATACTCAGACACAACTTGTTGGAATAAGGATCACTCAGGGAGATCACCTTCATCCTCTTCATTGTGGAAGTTCGGATGCGGGTTGTTCAGCCTGACGGATGCTCTATAACCAGTGCAGACCAACTTCTCAAATCCACACCAGAGTGAGCGATCACGAGGACATGTCCTTCAACCAGAGCTGAAAACTAACCTCCACTTCTGTACTACTGAAGCATTAACATAAGAAACATACAGTAAAAAATAACATGGAGCATAAGAACAATTTTAGTGCGATTGCTACAATATGTTTGGCTGATTCCAATGTGTGAGGTTTCACGTAGCCAGCAACAGTCTCTCAGAGGAAATTCAAAATCAAAATATCATTAACTTCTTTGAAGTCTATTCACTAGATTCCTCTAACTTTACTACCGACCAATCCCCCAATCAACATATTACCAATCTCTGCTTAGTTTGAAGTATTTGTGACCTGCGAAAAAACTACAACATACAAGTTGTAACATGTTTTATTTTTCTTTAATGTAACAAGCTACATGTGTGATTTGCTTTACTGCTAACTAAGCTACAATAAACATTCAAAAAATAACAGTTCTAATAATTGAATAAATGTCCCAGCATCAGCAATTAGAACAAGAATAGAGAGTGGAGATTCATTGCATATTCTTTTTTCAGCTTTTCTTCACTATTATGTTTAATACCACACTGTCATTTTTATTGGAGTCAAAGATGTTTGAATGCAAAGGATTATGACTTTTTATTAGTCTTAGGTTGTAGAAGTTAATGGATCACACAGTCATATTGCTCCATCTATATATTGGTTGCAAATTTGAATGTCACACAAGAACTAAAAAGCAACATTTGTTACAACATGTACTGTGGATATGAATGCAGGCTATTAGTGGTGATGCTGCTTTTTCTAAAGTTTTGACTTCATCAGAAAAAACTGTGGTAAGATGCATAGAAAAGAATAACAGGAAAGACATGCAGCACATTACTGCAGCACAGTGTTGACACAGGACTCGCTCGTCAGCAGCAAGGCCACATGTTGCCTTCATGGTTTGAGGAACCATAACAACATGTCTGACCCAGAACAGTGTAATAAGGCATCATTTGAGTTCACAGGGAGTCATTTCTGGTTCCCATACAGTTTCTGGTTCACAGGAGGAACCTGGAGTTCAGTTCAGCTGAGGGGGAGAACATGGGCAAAATCAGCAGATTAGAATAATGTAGAATGATATGAGCAGAAATGTGAGTGGCCTTAAGCTAAGAGAACACAACTGAATGCAACAGAACAACATAACACAATTAGATCTTTAGTTTTAGGTAAAGCTGGGCAATAAAATAATGTCAGTAATGATCACATTATTATTTTCATCAATAGCAATATAACAAAGGTTGACTATATACTGATACAAAGCTTAGGGATAACGCAAAACAGATCTACCTCAGATTTCAAAAATGTTTTGTTGTTTATCATTCTCTACTCACAGAGAGTTTGAACCCACAACCCCAAGAGTTTCTAAATGTTATTTATAATATGACATTTATCCGGATAATTATCAACATTGACTGACATCAAATTTTTAATTTTGAAATAATTTTATGTCCATATCGTCCAGTCCCAGTACTCATTTGTTCACAGAGGCGTTTCATATTGAAGATAAAACAAACACATAACTCTGAATGTATTACTTATGAGTCAGATCCTCCCCAATCCCCAATTTGTTTTAATACATGCTATATAAATAAATGTATTATTATTATCATTATTATTATTATTATTAGTATTAGTATTCGTAGTAGTAATATGTAGACATACCTGTTTCCTTTAGTTCAGGGATGAGGCTGGGGTACTGCCCCAGGTGTAAACAACTTTGGAGGAGTCATTTGGTTTTCTATCGCCACCTAGTGGCAGGTTGTGGACCTGCACTTGGTCTGCACTGAATCAACATCAACAACGAATAAAAACCATCTGAGTTCATCTGGACATCTGAGTCAGATTATCGCATAAACAGAGATATTATTTTGTGCGGCAATACTGGGACCAGAGATTTATTGTAATATCACAAACAGAAGAAGGCGTAAGAAGAGGAGGAATGAAACAGACCAAAGAGACAGTGATGACAGGAGATGATGACAACAAGAGAACAAGAGGGAGATGGGGATGAATAAAGCAGTGTGGTTGTAAAATAAAGACATGAAACAGTAGATGTGCTGCTGTGGTCAACAGATCTGTAGGAAGAGCAGATGGAGGAAGATGACAGAATACTGGAGAATGAAAAAACAAGGAGATGGAAAGTAAAAGAGTCGGATTCAGAGGAGGAGAAGAAGAGAGGAAGATGGAGGAACATGGGATATACCAACCCAGATGAAACAACGTCCACTTGCAGATGACAAAATCACTCCTATTCTAAATGGGCATGATTTCATGTAAACTGGGTTTGGAATAAAATTTAAATAAAAACAAGCTACCTGCACAACTTGGAGTAGTGGACGGTGATGTAGTTGGGGGCGGGTTTACGAGTTTCAACCTCTGTGATTGGTGGAGCATCTTTTAGAGGAACGATCGAGGGGTGGGAGTTGTCACTCAAGTCCTCTGTTTCTTCCTAGACAAACACACACGCCCAAACATAAATCAAATAATCACATGATTTTCATTTCTGTTGTAAGACTGAGCTGCTCACCGGTATGTCAGACATCTTGCCCTTTCTCACTGGGAAGGTCTGTTGGGCCGACTCATAGAACATGGTGTCAGCTGTCACTGACGGACGCTGGGGTCAAACACACACACACACACACACACACACACACACACACGCATAAACACACACACACGCAGCCAAAACAGTGAATTCAAATCGCACATCATAGATAAGTGTAATAAGTATTAGAACCTTGATTTTACATTATGAAGAAATGTTGTGAGTAAGTTTGTATTGTAAAATAATAACTGTACCTTGTTTGCTACTTCTACTGACTCCATGTCTACTCTGTGCATGTTCTTGCTGTGAAGACACAGGAGCGATTATCCAACCATAATGCAGTGATAACATCTGACACAAAAATAATGCAATTAATCCACAAAACTGGCTGAGTGAAAATCAAACTCCTGCAAAAGATATCAATGAAATATTCAACAAACTCATATTGAGTAAATGAGCGATAATGGACAGAGATTACAAACATTTGTAATTATGCAGAGGACTACAGAAATAGCCCATCAAGCAGTGAGAAAATAGCAGAGTACAGTTCCACAATACATGCAGCTGACCCCAATCTTAACCAGATCCTTTTCTGAAACTAGATAATATGAACACAAAAAAACACAATACGTAACATAGTAATTATTTAACAGTAGCATTAATTGTTGTTGGACAAAGTATGCAAACCTAGTGGATCACTGATATGAATGTACACATATCAGTTCATTTAAAGAACTAACATAATTCAGGTTTTTCAGTCAATCCGGTGTGAATGGGAGGCACCTTACAGTACAGGCTACATTCAGGCATTCACAGACACATTCATATAAACTAGTGCTT